GGCCCCCGAGGCCCGCGCACCGCGGTCCTCTCTCGGCGGCGCCTACCCGGCCTCCCGCCGTCCGGCTCCCGCCGAGACCAGAACCCCTCGGCTCCGCCACGTGGAACGGGGGCGCCCGACACCCGGAGCGCCCCGCGCGGTGGACGTCCCCGAGCAGTGCCGACTCCCCCGAGCCCGAGGGGGTGGTTGTCTCCCTGCACTGGCCACGGCAACCGAGAGTGGAAGGTGGCGGAGGCAGGGGGAGCGGAGACGCGGGACGATCACCCCACGGGGAGAAGGAAGGCGGCCGGGGCTCTTCCTGGTGTCGGAGTAGGAGACGGAAAGTAGTCGCTCAGTCGCGGAGAGGCTTGTCCGAGGAATTCCTTCCCAAACCAAAAGTGAAAGATGGGCAGGACCCATAGCCTCGCCATGCTGGGAGCGGGACCTCATCGTGTATGAATGGAATAATGAAGGACCTTTGAATTCAGGGCTTCTGAGCTTGTGAGAAGGTAGGCAGGAATTAAGGGCTCAGCTTCTGCTTGACATTGGGAGGATGAAGAAGTAAGTATAAGGCCCCCGAGGCCCGCGCACCGCGGTCCTCTCTCGGCGGCGCCTACCCGGCCTCCCGCCGTCCGGCTCCCGCCGAGACCAGAACCCCTCGGCTCCGCCACGTGGAACGGGGGCGCCCGACACCCGGAGCGCCCCGCGCGGTGGACGTCCCCGAGCAGTGCCGACTCCCCCGAGCCCGAGGGGGTGGTTGTCTCCCTGCACTGGCCACGGCAACCGAGAGTGGAAGGTGGCGGAGGCAGGGGGAGCGGAGACGCGGGACGATCACCCCACGGGGAGAAGGAAGGCGGCCGGGGCTCTTCCTGGTGTCGGAGTAGGAGACGGAAAGTAGTCGCTCAGTCGCGGAGAGGCTTGTCCGAGGAATTCCTTCCCAAACCAAAAGTGAAAGATGGGCAGGACCCATAGCCTCGCCATGCTGGGAGCGGGACCTCATCGTGTATGAATGGAATAATGAAGGACCTTTGAATTCAGGGCTTCTGAGCTTGTGAGAAGGTAGGCAGGAATTAAGGGCTCAGCTTCTGCTTGACATTGGGAGGATGAAGAAGTAAGTATAAGATGTGACTGCTGTTTTGAAGGTGCTTAAACATCACTAAAGGAAAGAATGCCAACTTGAGGGTCAGGCAGGGCTGGGTTCCCTTTCCTGCCCTTACTTTAAAAGGCTCTGTGACCTTGGGAAAGTTTCTTAACCTCTCGCTTCTCCAGCTGCATCATTTTTAAAGTAGAGATGTGTTGTAAAAATGAGAAATGTATATGACATTTAAAACAACGACAGCCATAACAACAGGCCCAAGATGGGGTCATTTGCCCCCTGGGCTACAAAACAGTACTTAGTTGCAGCTTCATCCTCTCCCCAGGAGTGAAATTTCTGGGTCAGTACTAGTGAGGTAATCTGCCTGATAGGACCCCCTGCCTTTCCCAAAGGGAAGGTTACCATGCCTGAGATGATCCTTTCTTTTCTTCCCCTGATAACCTTGTCTCACCCCCTTTCTGCCTATAAAATCTTTGGGTTTTGTACAGCTACTTGGAACTCCTTTCTCCTTGCTCAGTAGGGCGCTGCCTGATTCATGAATTTAGAATAAAGCCATTTAGATCTGGAAATGTACTCGATTGAATTTTGTTTTCTAACAGACACCTAGTACAGTGCCTAGTACATACTACTCAGTAAATGTTTGAAGTGAGCCGAATAACTGATAATTCCCTGTGCAGATTAAATAGCAGCCTATGGAAGAGAGAACACCAATGCCACCTCCTACCGACTGTTGGATAGTTACGATAAAAAGATGTTTATTGAACATTGAAAACATTTGTGACTTTTCAAAGTCTGTGGTAGCAAAACAGCATGAAACCTGACCCAAACTGGAGAGAACTTCCCTTGCAACCCAGGCAGCCAAATTTCAACTTTTCTCTCTCCCTCTAGTCTCAACTACCTACTTAGAAACCAGCTGTCTGCCTTATTACAGTTTTCCTGTCTGATGTGTCTACTGCCACAACCAGAATGGCCAAGCTCAGAGAGAGGGATGATCAGAGGAAATGTGTGAGGTGGTGTGACATGATGCAAAACACCCAGACAGCACCCAGGTTACAAGTATAAGCCCTAGTGAGTCAACTCAGGAAATTGTAAGAAATGCACTTGATTCAAAAGCAGATGAGTTGGATATCAACTCATGGTCAAGATGCTGGAGAATCCTGAAAACACAGTGGGAAGTTTCAAGGCAGAGTTGCAAAGAGAGTAGTACCTTCATTTCCTGACCAACTTATTTAATGTTCCGGGATAGGGAAGTGTTACTTCATCTCAGGACTGGGGAAGTCTTCCTTACTGTTTTAAAGTTAAGAACCTACATATATATATACACACATATGTGTGTATGTATACATAGACATATATGTGTGTATATATACATACACACACATATATGTGTGTATATATATATAAATTTTGATGATACTGAAAAGAAAAACTCTGTGGAGGGGAAGAAGGGATGTGTTGAATAGATTGATTGCTGAGGAAAGGACCGGAAGCTCTAAGTTTATACACTTGCTACAATTAGCGGGGGAGACCAAAAGTTCTGAGAGCTTTCAAAGGGAGAAACGATTAGCTGACTGTAGTGGCTAGTTTCATCCAAGAAGGTTTTCCTAGGAATGACGGGATAAAGGAAACTAATTACCATTTATTGAGCTGTGGACTAGATGCTTTGCATGTTACCTCACTCGGTCTGCACAGTGCGCTTAGGATGTAGGTAGTATGATATCTACTTGTAGGTTGAAAAACTGAGACTCAGAAAGGTTAAGTTCTTTGTCCAAGGTCACACACAAGTAGTCAGAGGATGGACTCTGACATACCTACTGGTAATTGGCCTCCCCAAATAAGTAGTTCCTATTTTAATGTTACTGGCAGAAATTTGCAAAGTGATGGTGCTAATACTCATCTCAGTGTAATGGTGTTTGTTGATGAAGATGAGTCTTGCAGCGGTTTTAACTGCCGATTCCTAAATAATCAGGTCAGCCAAGGCAAGATGGAACAGAATTCTCCCGTTACTATAAGAACCATTGGCCTTGGGGGGAGTGCGTGGCAGTGCATGAGATCTGTGTCCCGCGAACTGCAAGCTGCAGGAGGGAGACTTTGACATGTAGGTAGTAAAGCACTGTTCATCAGTTTCTGCCCACAGTCCAGATTCTCAGTCACTGTGGGTCCCGCCCTCCTGTTAAGCAGCAGGAAGCAGGCTCCTCACACCCTTTTTTCTGTGGGTTGTGGTTCAGACGTACTCATGGAAGGCTTAGGCTCAGAGTCCATTTCAGGAGAGGCAGAGAGGGCTTGAGGGGGTTGTGTAGCTATTTCAGGTCAGGGTGCTGTGGGGTTCAGTCAGGGTCTTTGGTCAGGCTGTTGATCTACTTTGGCTGTGGTGCTCTTGTAGTAAGTGTGGTCTTAAGGCTGTTGGTTTCTCTTCTAGCTGGTTCTAGTGAGCCCTACATCAGAGCAGTATGACAGCCTACTTCGGCAGATGTGGGAGAGGATGGACGAGGGATGCGGAGAGACCATATATGTCATTGGGCAGGGATCAGGTGAGCATAGTTTTCCTTACGCTTTATTTTTACAAAATTATTTAGAGCACATTTTCCCTCTTTTATTGACTTCCTGTTCATGTGTCTCAGTCACAGTGATTCTTTAGTGTCCGCAGAACTGTTTGGGAGGACATTAAAGTACAAAATGATAATGCTAATTCCCACCTTAGTGGTCATAATACGCTTCACTTCAAAGATTCACTTTCCGGGCGGTTTTACAGGTGCTTCTTTTCTACCTCCAGTACTCTCAATTTGCATAAAGGGAAAGTACAAAGCAAGGAAACTTCTTATCTCAGGTAATAGAACAAGTCATAGTTAGATCTACAGTTAAGCCTGCCTTGGGCAGCTCTAGGTCTTCCCTCTCCAGGCCCAGGTTACAGATCCCATTGCTACTTACGGCCTGCTTTGCAGAGAACCTTTGTGATTCTTCTTGACATCTGTAAGAAAGGGACACCCAGAATTCCTCTCTTCTGCAAGGCTACCTTGCCTGAACCACAGTGACCATTCAGTGTGCATAGTTGTGATAACAGAAGTCCTCTTTTTCTCTCTCTGAGATCCTGTCAGACATGTAGCCTTGTTACTATTCTGGAAGGGGCTGATTAATGTCCTCCCACCTGCTTATTCCATTGTAACGGGGCCCACCGTTTTAGAGAAAGACAGTCCTCATTGCAGATTATATCTTGGACGTTTGTTTTTCGGGGCTTTGGGAGTTTTGGGGGGGGGGTGTTTCTAGTTTATAACTTCCATACAAGGCCCACTTACCCTTGCTTCATTATGACATTATCTTTGCTGAAATGGCAGCTGGGCTTATTAACAATTATAGATTTAGCTCGTACCAGAACTTGTCTCTGTCATCTTTGCAGGAAGCCTTGGTGGGCCTTGATGGATCATTAAAGGAACAGTTCTTTGCTGAATGTAGGCTTTGTAAAGGCAGGTAATAATTCCTGTTAGTCTAAGATGGAGAAATCTCAAAATCATTCTTTAACTATTTGACAGATATCTATTAAGTATCTTCTAAGAGCTTGATACTGTTGCAAAGTACTTTTGGATACTTTATAATCTGGTCTCTGTCCCAGAGAGATGGCACATAAATAGATAACTTCAGTAGAAAATAATATTTGGAAATGCTTCAAGACTGACACATGGAAGAAGGGTTTGATCTCCAAAAACTGCTGTGCCTTCCTTTGAAATGTCTCTCCTATCTATCCCTTCCATTCCATCCTTGCTGCCACCTTCCCCTTTCGGGTCTTAACACTTTAAAGAAAGCATGGTCAGAGAGATAGGCAAACTGAGAAGTTGCCTGTCAAGAAAGGGAGGAAATGGGTCAGCATTGCCAAGTGCTAAAGACATTAAGGAGAGTCAGGTTCAGAAAAAGCCGTTCTGTTTGGTGGCTAGGGGATTGTTGGTGGCTCTTTGAAAGCTTCTGTTCAGGTGCACATCTGGCCTACGGTAACAGAATGAACCACTCCAAGGCCGCTCCATGCTTGGAGCATTGAAGAAACCTCATCTAGATCGATTTTGACAAGTGTTGGGACTGTTCTTTGATGATCTAAATTCTTAAGACCCCACCCTTTCCCCCTTATTCTTTAATGTGGACTCAGTGAATTTTACCATGCCTTGGCAACTCACAACTAATTAACCATCCGATGGCAAAGCATAAGAAAACGTGAGATGCTCATTGTCACATCTACACACCCAAGTGTTATCTTTGCATCTACCAGTTGGACGCTGTTACATTCACAGTGACTCCTTCCTGCTGGAATTCTTTAGAGGGAGAAGGCCATTGTAACTAGTTAAACAAGTTGAACATCAGAAGACTACAGCAGGTGCGAGGCCCCCAGGGGTCAGCTTCATTACTGACTTCCTGTGTGTGCTTGGTGCTTCACCTCTGTTTATCCCATCCTTCATCTGTAAAATGGGGATAATGACATACTTCTTTACCCTACCTCAGAAAGATTTTGTATGGATAAGTTAGGTGTTAAAAAGTTCTAAGCAGAGTAATGTGCTCTTTAAGTATACATTCCTAATTTTAAAAGGTGGCAGCCTGGCCTGATAGTTCAGGGTCTGGAGCCTGGTAGGTCTGCATTTGCCTGTTGGCTCTTCTCCTTGTCTTAAAATGGGGTTAATAATAGAATCTATCCCATGGTGTCATGGTGAAGATTAATGCTTGACATACAGTAAGCATTATATAAATGTTACCTAGCGTTAGTAATTGCAGTAATAATTTCTTAAGGATTCCAAGTTATAGTTGATTTACCATGAGACTTCTTTCAAGAACCACTTTGTTCATTTTTCATATTAAGTCATGGCTTACAAGAGCCAGCTACTATATTAAAAGTTCAGGGAACATAGGAGGAGTGTTAAGTCTTTCTGGGGGAGTCAGGAAGGGCTTCAAAGAAGAGGTGCTCCTTGAATTGATACTAAAGGGTGAATAGGAGTTTTCCAGGTAAATGGAGGCAGTAGTAAGTGAGCAGAGAAAGCCACATGCACAAACACAGAGGCATTGGTGATTGTGGAATATTTGGTGAGCCAAAAGTGATTCTCTTAAAAATGTATATATCTTAGCTCGTAGGGGAGTGGGTTGGGGGAGGGGCAGAGGGAGAGAATCTCAAGAAGACTCCCTGCTGAGTGTGGAGGCCAACAGGGGGTTGGCTCTCACCCCCCTGAGATCATGACCCGAGCTGAAGTCAAGAGTTGGATGCTTATCCAACTGAGCCCCCAGGCGCCCCCAAAAGTGATTCTGTAAAGTGGGAATATAGAGTGTGAGGTTGGGAGTATCAGGAGGGTGAAGGCTGGACAGGTTGCAGGGCCCAGATCTTGATGGTTTTTGAATACTATGTCAAAGAGTTAAGACTTCTATCCTAAACGCATGTTGAGCAGGAGAGTAAGTCAGATGGCAGGACAGAGATCTGATTAGGTTCAGACATGGCTGAATATGTGGTCTTAGGTAATTGGACCTCTGCAGCTTTTCTCCTTGACCTTTGTGTCCACTCCTCCAGAGTGAGGAATGCAGTGCGTGCTGGAGAAGGGTAATGTGACTGGGAGCGTTTTCCGGGAGCTCTAGATAGACCGGGCAACACTCATGATTGCCCCCTGGCGTGGAACAGGACCTGAAAGCATTTTGTTTTACCAGAAACAGGGAAGGTTGGATAGAACTTGGGGGTCTGGCAAGAATGGTAGGATTAGCAGACTTCCTCTTAGGAACACTCACAACAAGCCCTTCTCTAACCAGAAGATTTCCAGACTCAGCTGGCCGTGTATTTGGAAACTCCTCAGCCCAACTGCTCCCTCTTCGTTCATTTGTTTTGCATTTTGCAAACATTAGAGGGCCTGATGGAGGAGAAGCACCCTCATGGGGCATCTGGGGAATGTTTGAGATACACCCTGTCCTCGGGATGCCTGTGAATAGTGGGGGAGTAGATGCATCCAAAACACTGCTCCACAAGGGGTGGGCTGTGGCGCACTGAGGGGCTTTCTAGGATGGCAAATATCTAGGTAAAGGTGTAAAGCTGAAGAATTGCAGGGAACATGGGGGATGGCGACTGGGCCACTTATACTGGGACAAAACTGAGGAGGGGGTGTGGGATTCCTTTAAGGAATTGGAACCGGATGCTGCTGGGCTGGGGGAGCCATTCCAGGGCTTTGAGTTAGAAGTGAGAACGTCATAATTGTGCCTGGATTAGGGGCTTAGGCTTGCGTGTGTGGAGGCTGGGCTGCAGGGCACAGAGCCCAGGTGTTCTAGGAGAAGCTAGGGGTCTTGCAGGGATTGAGGCAGAGCAGACCCTGAATCAGGCCGGTGGCGCTGGATTGGCAACAAGAGAGCAGGGACAAGGACGGAAGGGCGAGGCCTAAAGCTGGAATCCGCAGGACTGGAGGGATGAGCATTGAGCTTGGGTGACTGGGAGGGGGTGGCTTCATCAGAAGGAAGGAAGGCAAGGGAGGGACTGGTCGGGCACAAGGAGGAGTCCTTGCCAGAGGGAAAGGCTCTAGGTTTGGAATCAGAAGACCCAAGAGCTCGCACAGCCCCTTGGCTCTTTACCAACCCTGAGACCTCTGTGGGTTCTGTTTATCCCGCTGCTAAGTGGGAACAGTAATGCTTACTACTTAGGATTGCAGGGAGGTCTCAAATGCTTTGTTAGGGCTGTTAGTTTTCGTGCTGTTGTTTAAAAGGGGGGGTGGAGTGGTTGAGTTTAGATGCCAGGCTTCGAAGAGTTACCATCCAGGCAACTGGAAATTCAGTCTGGAGCTTTGCAAAGAGGACAGTGCTAGAAACGAATGTTTCTGTGGTTTGCAAAACTACAGTTTGAACCGTAGAATGAGGTGCCCAAGGGAAAGGTTTAGAAGCTAGAGAAAAGGGCCACTGACTGATTGCTAGAAAAGACTGGCATTTAGGGGATAGGAGCAGGAAGAGTAGCCAGAGGAAACCGAGAAGAAGGAACCAGAGGGTAGAGAGGTGAATCGGGAGAATTCAGGCCATAGGCAAGCAGAGTGGGAGGGAAGTGCTTCAAGAAGCAAAGGTGGTAGGATAGCCAGCGGTGTCAAATGCTGGAGGGGTCAAGAAAAGGGCATTAGATGAGTGGTTGAAGTCCGTTTATGTCTTGAAAACCAGTTTCTTCTGCAGTCATCAGAAATAATAGTCAGCAGGTGCGATCACTTTTTTGAGATGCTTGGTGGGAAGAGGAGGAACCGGGGAGATGGTAGCTTAGTAAGCAGGGGCAAGGGAAAAGGGGGTGGGTTTCCTTTTTGTGGTTTAAGAATGAGCTCATTTATAAGGGGAGGCATGGAGGGAGGGAAGAGAAGGTAAGAAAAGGTACGGCAAGGTGTTTGGGAGACAGTATAAGAGAAGAGGGGTTGGGGTCGTGCTGTGGGGGTCAGCCTAGGGAAGGAGTGGAGGTGTTCTGTGAGACCCAGAGCCTGGAGGAAAAGCTGAGGGAGCAGTTGTGGAAATTGAATGACACCATGCGGAAGGCACCTTGCCGGGATTGCCTTACAGTAAGCACTCAAGTGAGTGACTGGTCCATTGACTTTCCTTTGGACGCCCTTCCTCATCCTGAGCTCAGACTTACTTTTTTCAGCTGCTTTGCTGGATATGTCACCTGAGCCGCCTCATTTAAAAAATCTGTCCCTGACTAAAATCATTCTTAAATTCTCTCCCCGTTTTCCTTTGACTCCTGTCCTCATGATCTCTTGCCTGGATTATTAGTATTATTTCCTAACTGGGCTCCCCCTTTCTGGTCTCTCGCTTGCCAGTGCACACTTGATATTGCTGCTCCAGACATCTTTCTAACCCACAGCAATCTAGTCATGTTACTCCCCTGCCTAAACCCCCAAGGCTTCCCACTGCCTGGTACGTACTGTGTTTTGCTGCTCTCTGACGTCTCTGCTTAACAGCTTCCCACCTCGTCTGTGGTCTCTCACCACTTGACATCCTGCTCCCCAACATACCGAGCTGCTTACTGGTCCCTGAATGTGCCGTGATCTGCCACGCTCCATGCTTCGTTCCTCTGCCTAGGATGTTTTTACTCCTCTCTCTGTAGGTCCGTTTTCCATACTTAGAGACCCAGCTTGGAGTCAGCACCCTGCAAAGCTGTCCTCAGCTTCCCCAGGCAATGCCAGTTGCTCATGCTTTACATTCTTTTTGTACAGTTCTATAGTAAAGCACTTAAGCTGTATTACAATTAATTAATTTTCTGTGTCTCCTGCTGGGCTGGGAGCTCACCAAGGGCACCTGTATTCCGTACCCAGCATGAGGCTTGGCATAAAACCTCAGAGTCTTAGTGATTACTGTTTAATGAACACCCTTCTTGAAAGGGAAGCCCATGGCATGATTATTTATTAACTCCGTGTATGCCCAAGTTTTTGAAGTGTCTGGTAGAGAGAGCCATGTTCTTCTCCTGTGCCTGGGGTGGGGCCTTTGGTAGGGGTGGTTGACCGGCTGACTTGTTGGCAGGCTGATGTCTGGGCTCTTGTCACCAGATGGGACTGAGTATGGGCTGAGTGAAGCCGACATGGAGGCCTCCTATGCCACGGTGAAGAGCATGGCGGAGCAGATAGAGGCTGATGTCATCCTCCTGCGGGAACGTCAAGAAGCTGGGGGCCGTGTGCGTGATTACCTGGTCCGGAAACGAGTAGGAGACAATGACTTCCTGGAGGTCAGGTGAGGAGGCCTCAGAACAGTTCAGGAGTTCTCTGCAGCCTGACCTTTGGTCTAGGGCTTCGAGAGAACGGTGCCGGAGCCTTTGGCGCCTGGCATACCAGCTTCACTCCTTCCCCTTCTGAGTCATGGAAGGAGTGTCCAGAGATGTGATCGCCCCATTTGCTATTTCCTTACTTGCCCATCCCCAAATATTTCCATTTGGTAAGAGTGGGAGGCTAGCCGTACATTTGTGGCCATTGCGTGGGCTGCGTTTTCTTACCTGTCAGCCTGCGAGACTAGAAACCAGTGTCTGGAGGAGAGCGTTCTGTTCCTCTCTTCGTTCTTGGGCTCCTTTCTGGCAGCTTTGAAGAGGCTTGAGGAAGTTAAGAGAGAAAGGCATTGAGACAGGAGCCTAGTTCCTCCTGAATAATTCTTTCTGCTCTGGGTGTCCCTCCAGGGCCATCCCCAACGCGCTTAGCCGTGAATGGGAGGAGCGGGAGCTGGAGGGGCTCAGGGGCAAGTCTGTCCTTAGAGATCCAGCTGCTCGGGTTCATTTTTGCTCCGCTGCTGACTCTCACAAGGCTGTTTGGGTTCATGTACACGCAGGGTAGCAGTAGTAGGCAACGTGGATGCTGGCAAAAGCACACTTCTGGGGGTCCTGACACACGGGGAGCTGGACAATGGCCGAGGCTTTGCCCGCCAGAAGCTCTTCCGCCACAAACACGAGATTGAATCCGGTCGCACCAGCAGCGTGGGCAACGACATTCTGGGCTTTGACAGTGAAGGCAACGTGGTGAACAAGCCGGACAGCCACGGTGGCAGCCTGGAATGGACAAAGATTTGTGAGAAGTCCACTAAGGTGATTACCTTCATCGACTTGGCTGGCCACGAGAAATACCTGAAGACCACGGTCTTCGGCATGACAGGTCATCTGCCGGACTTCTGCATGCTCATGGTAAGTGTGAGGCGATCCTGACGAGGGGAGGCTCCATGGGCTGTTTGGGGGTGCTTATGCGCAAGTGTTAGAAATTGTGCTGCAACAGAGGCCTCTTGGTTTGGGGCTTTGACATTTTATAGGGATGCCCAGTCCTCTGAGCGCTATGGCCTTCTCAAGGGCTGTACCTTGATCTCTCTTCCTGGTGCCATTTGCGGACCTCTTCTATTTTCCAAAGAGGCACAGAGGAGGGTTTCTTATGGGGCTGGCTTACTGCCTTCAGAAATGTTTCTCCTGGGGTTAGGCTGCTCTGTGGAGGTGACACCACATGGCACCGCCCAGAGAAGGGGAGGCCTGGGAAGAAATGGAGGAGAGCACAGACCGCAGTCAAGAGGGGCTAGGGAAGTGGCCTCTTTCAAAACCTGGGAGGAGTGTCAGCCAGTCCAGGGTGCTTGTGGAGAGGCTGCTGAGTGCCTGGCACCGTGTTGGGCCTGGAGATATAGCAGTTGAGTCTAGTAAGATTTTCCAGCATCTCATCCTGTAGTTCACCTGTAGCGGAGGCTTCCGTGTTGGATCATGCCGCAGAGCTTCCCTTCAGGTCCCACTCATCTTCCGTGGACAGAGAGTGGGAGTTCGGGGGGTCCACAGCCCTGCACACAGCTTCACAGCTTTCACAGAGAGCACAAGTGAGCAAGTTTTCCTTTGGCAAGTCCTTCTCCAAGCCTTTCCCCATTTCCTAGTTCCTCCAGCTGCCTGTATTAATAAGTGTGGTAAACACGGGCATCTGTTGAGAGTGGAGTTGATCAAGTTGCCCCACAAACACGGGTTCTCAGGCAAATTCTCCCCAGACTGGAGAGTAAGGAGGCAGAGCATATGTGCGAACTCGCTTGTCAGCGCTCTGCCCAAGGTTCCTGGGATCTCAGCATGATTTCATCTCCCATATCCTTGAGCATTTCGAGGGGCCACCACCAACTTGGCTAAGGAAAGCTGCTCTACGAGAAGGGATTTCAGAGGAGGAGCCGTAGGGCGTACTGGGGGCAGTTGTCGAGTTTGTATTAAGAAAGGTACAGAAACCAGTCTCAAATGAGCATTTTTCCAACTGAGCTATAGGGAACGAAGCCAATTAAAGGAAATACTTTCACCCTAGGTGAAACGTTCTGTATTATCTGACTTAGGCAGTAATCCAAATATTAAACATTTTCTGTATAAAACACTGAAATCATTATTGCCTCATGACAATCAGTTTCCAGAGTGGAAAAAAAAAAGCTTTAAAATATATAGACAACAGGGGCGCCTAGTGGCTCAGTGGGTTAAAGCCTCTGCCTTCGGCTCAGGTCATGATCCCAGAGTCCTGGGATCGAGCCCCGCATCGGGCTCCCTGCTCAGCAGCGAGCCTGCTTCCCCTTCTCTCTCTGTCTGCCTCTCTGCCTACTTGTGATTTCTCTCTCTGTCAAATTAATAAATCTTTAAAAACAAACAAACAAACAAAAAATATATATATATATAAACAACAGAGTGATAGAGCATTCTTTTATCCCAGTCAGGGTGGAAGAACAAAAGCAAGTCTGGGTTGGATAGGAAAGGTGTTTGGAAGAAACGAGAAGAATTAGAAGGCAGAGAGGAGATATCTTGGTGTCGGCAGAAGGGAATATGCAAGGGACGTTGGTGTTGGGGGGATATCAGCTCACCTGTGACCTGGGATCAAATGAGAACATCACTTGAAAACCTGGAATGTATTAAACACTATGTAAATGTGTCATGGCAACTTTAATTTAATTTTGTTTTTGTAAGTAGCACATTCATGTGGTACAAAACAAAAAGATGCCAAAGGGCTTATAGTGAAAAGTTTCCCTTCCTCCCTTGTCCAGTTTCCTCTCAGGGCAACCAGTATTTCCAGTTTCTTAGGTATTCCTCAAGAGATTTTGTAATCGTACCAGCAAATGTGGATGTATTCTCTCCATCCAGCTTCAAAACCATCAGAAAAGTTGAAAGAATAATATGATAAATCCCATAGACCCACCACTCAGATTCAGCAATCACTAACGTTTGCTCTGTTCATCTTTTATGTCTCGGATGCGTATGTGTATTTTTGTTGTTTTGGCTGAATCATTTGAAAGTAGATTATAGGCGTTGTGACTCTTGACCCCCAAATCCTTCAGCACACAGCTCCAAAAATAAGAACTATCTCCTGCTGTTACAGCAGCCAGGAAGATGAACGAGAGTTCCCTAATATCTAGGCTGTAAGTGTTTACATGATCTCAGATGTTCCCCAAATGTCTTCCAGCTCTTCACAGCTGCTCTTTTCAAACAATGATCCATTCTACACCCTTTTAATGGTAACATGCTATACACCTTGTTTTTTTTTCCTCTCTTAAAAACATACCTTAGGGATTATCCCATGTCAATAGATAAGTGTTTCCTCTTTTTTGTCTGTATATTTTGTATGGCACATTTTGTACATTTTGTATGGCACACTTACACCCATGCCCTCGTTTATTTAGCCAGCCTTTATGGTGATATTTTAAAACATTTATTGTCATGGGAGAGAATAGAGAGCTGCCATTGCCTGAATATCTAAATCACGCTGGTCGTGCACAGGACCTTTGACCTATGTTATGACACTTAAACCTCAGGAGACCCTCTAAAGGGGATGTTATTATCCCTCCATTTTACAGATGGGGAAACTGGGGGCCAGTGGTGTTAGACTGAATCTGCCTTGATGGCGCTAGACAGTTGTTTCCCTGGACTGTCTGGGTTTGTCTTTTTTTTATTGCTTCCAAGTCTTTTCAGATTTTGACAGCCCACATCATTAAATCAGAGGTTAAAGCCATCTGTACCCAGCCATACTTTCATCAACAGCTCTTTTGTTTCTGGCCTAAGACTTCTGCTCCATGTGTCCTGTTCTGATGGAGGCCTCAGATGGGCCTCAGATGAGAGCTCTCTCTTAACCCAGCCTTCTTTGAGGCCCTGTGCCCACCCAGCATCAACTTGTGTCTCCCTTGTCCTGACCTTTCCTTCTGTGTTGGGGCAGGTGGGCAGCAATGCTGGTATCGTGGGGATGACCAAGGAACATCTGGGCTTGGCATTGGCACTCAATGTGCCTGTCTTTGTGGTGGTCACCAAGATTGACATGTGTCCTGCCAACATCCTGCAAGGTAAGTGAAGCCTGCGGCTAGTAGCAGTCTCTGTTTGGGGCTGTCACCCACTGTGGCTCCTTGGTGGTGCTGCCAGGGCTTCCGCCCAAATCTTCTGCTTTTTTATCTTGTGCTCAGACCTTGGTCTGAGTTTTCATCAAGCCAGAATCTTCTGCTTCCTCCCTTGTTTAGCTCTTGGTCTAAGCACCCTAGAATTATCCCCTGCTCTTTGTTCCTTCTGGTTCCAAATATAGGATCCTTGAGATTCCTAATCTGGCATCTCTTTTCAGATGGTTCCAGGGCCAGGGGGTTGGGTTTTACCATCTGAACGGGATATATATGGAGGCATTTGGGCAGAGGGTCTGATTGCCTTCTACCAGCAAATGTTTCAGAAAAGCCTCACATTTCTCCCTCATTCCTACAGATAGTAGAAGAGAAATGGAGAGGTGTCCTTTTGGAATGCCTCATAAGGGCTTCTGCAGATGTGTAAATATCCTAGAGATCCTTTGTCAGATGATTTTATCCAGGAAGCAGAGCATTCTGAGAAGAACATTGCCTTTCCCATGGACCCACTTTCTTACAGGATGTGGGTCTTTAAGAGACTCTGGAGAAATATGACAAATTTCAGGCTCGTAACCTTACCAGACAGGCTTTATCTGTGTTCCTTCTCCTCTAGCAAGCATGTGCCCACCCCAAGTTTTGATCCTCCTTTTGCTTCTCCAGGCATGGCATTTAACACTGGTCCGTCTGTCTCCTGCTTCTCTCAGCAAGGAGTGGACCAGTCTTGACCTGGAAACCTGGCCAGAGAGAAACCTGTGTCCCCCTAATTGTGTTCCATTTCAACCTTTAAGAAACCCTGAAGCTGTTACAGCGCTTGCTGAAGTCTCCAGGCTGCCGGAAGATCCCTGTGTTGGTACAGAGCAAGGACGATGTGATCGTTACGGCCTCCAACTTCAGCTCTGAGAGGTAATGGGGTAGGGAGCACTCACTGCTGAGCAGGCAGAGATTGGTTGGAATAGAAGATTCTGGTCTCAGTATAAGCTCTCCCATGCTGTCAATGTTGCCTAGGAGCTGCATCAGGCAACCCAGATTCTGAGGTGCTGGCCTTGCTAAAGTTGGAATTCCAGCTGAGGCTTCAGTGTCTTTACAAGTGAAGTGGGAACAGTATTCCTTCCCCACAGGGTCCTCGGAAGTGTTAGAAACGATGTGTATAAAGCACTTAGCACTGTGGCTGGCTGCCGTGTGATACATACACAGCCCTTTTTATAACTGTTATTATAAGTTTTTATACTGTTGTCTCTCAGAAACCCTCTAATCACAGATTAGCATTTGGCATTTATTCATTAGTGAATCCTTTGGTTCCATTCATGTTTATTAGATGTTCTGTACTAAGGTCTTCGAGGCATTGAGGATTCAGAGTGGACTCAGGTATAATCCTTGTCCTCAAGGTGGTCACCTCCTTGGTCAGAGATACTCTCTTTTTTTTTTTTTTTTTTTTTTAAGATTTTATTTATTTATTTGTCAGAGAGAGAGCGAGCACAGGCAGACAGAGTGGCAGGCAGAGGCAGAGGGAGAAGCAGGCTCCCCACAGAACAAGGAGCCCGATGTGGGACTCGATCCCAGGACGCTGGGATCATGACCTGAGCCGAAGGCAGCTGCTTAACCAACTGAGCCACCCAGGCGTCCCAGAGATACTCTCTTGATGATAGCAAACTTTGTAAGTTTGTTCCTTTTCCCAGAGTCTTGGGGTGCTCGGGAGCCATCTGCCTCCTGGCTTGGTGGGTATACAGCACCCGGAGCAGGCTGGCATTTTGGCCTGTGGCAGCGTCCCGTCGCTGCCTTCAGTACCATCAGGCGGCCAGCAGAGGGGGTGTGTTTCCATTCGTTCCTCGCGCCTGTTCTGTGCAGGTGCTCTTCGGGGAGCAATGGGGAATATTACAATTCCTGATCTTAAAGAGTATGATTAACCTTGGATCGGAGACATAGAGGCTATTGTGATGACTGATGGAAAATCAGGTGTAATTATGTGTAACAGAAATGCAAAAAGTGCTCCCTAGATCTGGGAGGAGTCAGGAGTGTCCATCAGAGAAGGGTTTCCTGGAAAAATCTGCCTTGGAAATGGGCCCTGGAGGATTTGTTAGTTGGGCAAGAGGGAAGGAGTTGAGGCAGCAGGATCAGAATAAAGAAATCCATGGGAAGCAAAAAAGCACTAAGCTTTTGGGTGAGGAGAGGGTTCTCTGGTCTGCCTGGCAGACAGGAACTTGAGAGGAATAAACCTGCAGAGATGTTGGGAAGAGGAAATTCTGTCTGACTTCTTTGCAGTGGAAAGGCAGAACTAAGCCAATTTAAGAATTTTAAGCAAAAATGTGTATGCTTCAGGCGCCTGGATGGCTCAGTTGGTTAAGCAACTGCCAGCTCAGGTCGTGATCCTGGAGTCCCGGGATCGAGTCCCACATCAGGCTCCCTGCTCTGTGGGGAGTCTGCTTCTCCCTCTGACCTCCCCTCTCATCCTCACATGCGCGCGCACGCTCTCTCTCTCAAATAAATAAATAAATAAAATTAAAAAAAAAAAAAAGAATGTGTGTGCTTTAGGAAGAAGAGGCAGCCATACGAACCCCAAATACAGCAGTGGTAGAGGGACAGAGACAAGGGGACAGATGTTACAGATAAAACTGAATGAAAGAAGAAGGCCTTAGAATGGTCTGGCCAGCAATTGGAAGGCTGGGACAGGGAGTGGAGCCCAGGCCTGGGAGGCTGATGAGGGGGCAGCGGGGCCCTTAGCCACCTCACATGTTCCAAAAGGTCTCCTGCTCCCACCCTGTCACACAGGAGCTGGCCACCTGAGCTCCTTTGTCTTTCTTCACCCTCCACTTAGGATGTGCCCGATATTCCAGATCTCCAACGTTACAGGTGAGAACCTTGATCTGCTGAAGATGTTCCTCAACCTCCTCTCCCCCCGCACCAGCTACCGGGAGGAAGAGCCTGCCGAGTTTCAGATCGACGACACCTACTCTGTCCCGGTGAGTAGCTTCTGGAGGACTGAACAGGGTGGGAGGCTGCGTGGGTGCTTCCTGCAGGGACATCAAGGCAAGTATGTCGTGGGGAGGACCTAAGTGGGATCGATTGACTGGACCCTGGCCTTCTCTGCAGGGTGTGGGGACAGTGGTGTCGGGGACAACACTGAGAGGCCTGATCAAGCTGAATGACACATTGCTGCTTGGCCCAGATCCCCTGGGTAACTTCCTGTCCATTGCTGTCAAATCAATCCACCGCAAGCGCATGCCTGTTAAGGAGGTGCGGGGGGGCCAGACAGCCTCCTTTGCACTGAAGAAGGTGAGTGCCAAGAATACCAAGAACTCCCTTCGGATTCTTACGTTAGACTCTGGGCCATTTCCAGTCGTCCTGGCCGTTCCATATGGCGGGGATTACTGACCTCACTTTTATAGGTCAGAAAACTCAGGCTCAGAGAGTCTTGTGACTTGCCCAGGAACACACAGCTAATAAGTTCTAGAGCCAGGACTTGAGCCCAGGCCTGCCTGCCTTCTAAACTCTTTTCCTTCTCCTAGTGCTTGAGATAGGTGCTCCAAGCTCAGTGGTAAGATGAGAAAGACACCACCCTCCTGTGCAGATGGTCCTACTAGGTAGGATCCTTGGAGTCCATGCCAAATTCTCCTCCCAGTCAGTCCTCTGTCCCTCGGGGATTGGGGTAAGTGTTAGCTCTAGGGTCACCTACCTCCCTGCCAACCACATTAACCAGCAGAGTGGGACTTCCCTTATCCTCTCCAACAGTCACATCATGCTCGCCCTGTCCCTTCTACTTGAACGCTTACCTACCTCTGCCCTCTCACCACTACTTAATTCTTACCCATCCTTCAAAACCTGGCTGAAGTGCCAGCTCCTGCCTGAAGCCTTTCCTGATCCTCAGTAGCAGTGTTTAGGCTTCCCACTTAGAACTCGAGTCGGCCCTGCATTATCCACCCTAGAAGGCCTGTGATCTAGTGCAGTAGGAGGTCAAGGCTGAGTTGGGGTGGTCTCCGTTCCCAGAAAGAACTCCTGGTCTTCTGGGGCCAGAGGAGAGAAGCCCTGGGCAATATTTGCCCCTGAGGTCTGGCATTCCCTCTTTCTTTCAGATCAAGCGCTCGTCCATCCGCAAGGGCATGGTGATGGTTTCCCCACGCTTGAATCCCCAAGCATCCTGGGAGTTTGAGGCCGAGATCCTTGTCCTCCACCACCCCACCACGATTAGCCCACGCTACCAGGCAATGGGTAGGTGTCTAAGGGCACTGCCAGCAGAGGCCTCTGCTCTAGTTCTCCCAACAAAGTATCGCAGCCACCCAAACCCCGAGCTTTCAGCTGCAGCTGAGAGTCCGGTCTCCCTCTCCTGCCCGTAAGCTGCCGTGTTTATTCAGTTCTGCAGACATTAACCAAGTGCCGGCTTTGCCGGGCTCTGGAGACCCAGTCTTGCCCCCGGAATCTCACTTTCATTCCTTCAGCAAACGTCTTCAAAATGCTGCTGTGTGCCATGTGGTATTGCTGAGATGCTGGGGACACAGTGCTGGGCAGGGGGTCTACTGTCAAGAAGCCGACAGTCTAGAGAAGGCACACATGTGAACAGAGTGCCCTGTATTCAGGAACCAGGACCGTGGGTCCAAGGACAGGGGCTAACTGGGTGTGTATGGCAGGATCAGACCTGAGAGCGGACCTCCAACTCACTTGGCCACACGCGGCCCCCTGAAGCCTTTAGCGGACCACAGCTCCAGCATATTCTATGTTCTCACTCCTGTCTCTCCTGCCCAGAGGCCACTGGGGAGCTCAGTGACCTCTATGGTGACCCCCGGGCTGTCTTGGCAGTGCACTGTGGGAGCATCAGGCAGACGGCTACCATTCTGAGCATGGACAAGGACTGTCTACGCACTGGGGACAAGGCCACTGTGCACTTCCGCTTCATCAAGACCCCTGAGTACCTGCACATAGACCAGCGGCTGGTGTTCCGAGAAGGCCGCACCAAGGCCGTGGGCACCATCACCAAGGTATGGTCAGGCAGTCCTCCTCGCCCAGCCCCAGGAAGCACTAGGCCACGCCAGTTTCAGACTGTGAGCGCAACCAGAGAAGCCTGACAAAGTCCCCCTAACTGCCAGGGACAGAGGTGCTAGTTCCTGTCTTAGGAGAGTTGGAACAGTGCTGAAGTGTGGCTTCAGTGCCGTTTTCTCTCTTGCCCCTGAGAGGTCTCCCTGGGCTTTGGTGGTGACCCTGGAGGAAAGCAGGTGTGGTTGAGGCCTGTCTGTCCTCATAGGAAATAGTGGTATCTGGACGTGGCTGTGGTCGGCCTCTGAGATGCCCCAGGTGTAGGCTCCCGTGGCCTGGCTGGGGTGCTACCCTTACAGCACTGGGTCAGGTCAGAGTGAATATTGGACAGCAGGGGGGCCTAGGCGTGAGTTCCCTTGGGGCTTGAGCTGTTTGTGTGTCCTGGAGCCCACTTCATGCGCTCTGCAGACTTCACTGGTGGCTTTGGGTGGGGGCACTTGACAGAGTGATTTGACTCTTGCTCCAAACAGCCTGTGTGAAATCTTGGGATCAGCCTTAGGGTGGCCTTGCCTTCAGAACAGCCTTCCTCAGGCCCTTCCGTGCAGACCTGATCATGTCCCTGAAGGCCACTTGCTTCTGGGACTGACTAAGAGCGGCAGAAGCTTCCGGCCCACGCTGTAGTGCCCTTGGGGGTATGGCAGTCCTCCCCCCTGCTTTTGAGATTGAACCTGGGCCAAAAGGGAAGGTGCTAAATCGGTCCCTCCTGGGTGGTAGCTGTTAGGATCCCTGATAGCCACGCTCTAAATGTTTCTAGATGCTGAACATTCACTTGGTCTCTTTGGGAGGCCTGAAGTTAAAACTTGCCCCAGACTCTTGTTATCGGCGCAGTGGGAGAGATGCAGTTGGTGCTCTGAGGAGTTTCAGCCAGCTTAGCAGGGAAGCCTCAAGGTCCTTCCAAGGCTCTGGGCAGGCCAGACTCGAGCCTAGGAGCTTGGCCAGGTGGGGGTGGCCAAGATGCACAGGCTGTCAGTGGGCAGCGCAGCTGGGGCAGGGACTAGGATGGAGCAGGCTGGGCTGAGGCAGGTGAGACATCAGCGGGGGAAGGGGCTGCCCTGGGACACTGAATGGGGATGAAGACATCTCTCTAGCCCACCACCCCTGTCATGGCCCCCTTGCCATCCACCTTGCTCAGGACCAGCGGGGCCAGGGAGTGGGAATTCCCCGGGGGCGGGGACCGGGGCCTGGGGCCTGGGCAGCTGAGCCCATGCCACCGCCTGCAGCTCCGGCCTCATCCTTAACTCCTCGCCTCCCGCAGCTCCTCCAGACCACCAACAACTCCCCGATGAATTCAAAGCCCCAGCAAATTAAAATGCAGTCAACGAAAAAGGGTCCCTTAACGAAACGAGAAGACGGGGGTCCCTCTGGAGGGCCGGCAGTAGGGGCGCCCCCACCTGGAGATGAAGCTTGCTCTCTGGGGACTGTGCAGCCAGCTGTGTCCAGCAGTCTCCAGCCACAGGTGAGTGTGTGGCTCGGGCTGGGCTGGTCCCCTGAACACCTCAGGGTGGGAGTGGGAGGGTGACTGATACGCTAGTTGGTGGAGGTGACAGGACAGCTTCAGGCAGCCTGGGTCTTGCTCCCACGTCTGCAGAGCATAGAAGTTGTCTCCCCCGACTCTCAGCACATAAGTGCCAAGCGAGCACTGTTTGTCTCTTAGGGCAGTATTTTCTGACCTTTGAGGTGTGGCCTGCGTAAAGCCGATTTAGTCGGTCTTGATTAGCATTTGATAATGAAGCAATAGAAAATGTCTGGGTTTCCATCTCCCAAGAGCGAGTGCGTGGTCTCTCTGTGGGACTACGGTGTGTGTGTGGCGGTCCAGAAGGTCGTCGGAAAGGTGCAGAGGGTCCTCCTGGGTGGGCGTAGAGGAGGCTGTGGGCCCCATACTAGTGTGGCTCTCACTCAGCATCTCCTGTTAGCTTTGTCCCTTGCTTCTGTCCTGCTGCCCCCTCCTATTGCTCCTTCCAGGGTCATCTCTATCTGACCCCCATTTGGAGAAGGAAACGCCTGTGTGGACCTGTCCTTTCTGTTCTCTCTCCCACATTGGGCCTTTCTCTTTCCACCTCTCCGCGGGGGCAGGTGGTGGTTCCTGCTGTCCTAGTGCTTCTTGCAGCGCCTCTGTCTCACCCCATCGTCATGTGCGCCCCACTTGCTAGGAAGGCAGGCTGGGTGCTGGCTCCATCTGGCAGAGGGGTGTGCCCGGCCCAAGTCACATAGTAGATGACTGTTCAAGCTAGGCTGGGACCGTCCTTCCTGCTCGCTTTTCTCCTGCGCCTTTTCCTGCCCCCCTGCCCCCCTTCCCCTCTGCTGTCCTACCCTGCTCCCAGTGGGCCACTACTTCTCAAGCTCCTTCTTTCTCCCTTTCAGCCCAAGCCCAGCAGCGGGGGCCGGCGACGGGGGGGCCAGCGGCACAAAGTGAAGTCCCAGGGGGCCTGTGTGACTCCTGCCAGCGGCTGCTGAATCTCCCTGGCCCACCCCCACCACCCAAGGGATCCTTGTACTCGGGCCACTGTTCCGCCACATGGGCCAGAGCAGCTCTGACCACCACCCGCCCTCCCCAAGGCCACAGCTGGAGCCACATCATTCCCTGTCCCCACCCCCATTTTCCAGGGGGGTTGTAATTTATAAGCTGAGGAAGGTGGCCAGACTTCTGGAGGACTGACCATCATCCACCTTCTTCCCCGCCTTCTTCCTTAACTCAGATTTTTTGTACATCTGGGCCCTTAGTTTTTATTCTTTTTATTATCTCTCTCTCTCTCTCTCTCTCTCTCTCTTTAGTGTGTGTGTATGTGCGTGTGTGTGCGCGTGTGCCCATGTGTGCGTGCAGAAGGGTGGTGGTGCAGAAGTGCAGCCGGTCAGGGCCCTGGCAGTCTTTCTCCTTTTTTCCTCTGTGGCTGGCCACCAGCCTCTAGGAGCTGGCTGCCTGCCCATCTGTCCATCCGTCTGTGTGTCTCTGTGACAACCTTTAGGGGCTTTCAGGAACTAAAGAGCACCCTCCTCCCCTGTGCTCACCGTCCTCCCCTGTGCTCACTCCTCTGCACCCAGGGCCCTCCACAGAGCCGGACTCAGGGCTTGGGGGCTTCATAAGTTCTGCCAGAGCAGGGAGCCTTCCTTCTGGGACTGGGGAGCTTTTAACAGAATGGAGAGTGGTGGCCTCCTTTTTCTCTCTTCTCCTTTCCCCCTCTTACATCCCCCAAACAGGTAATGCCAAAAGCTCTTAAGTGTAGCCTGTAGATGTGTGGAGGAGAGAGGCACTTGGATTGTAGGACCCCTCCCTGCCTCTAACTCTGACCCTTGCCACTGACCCGAAAACAGCTGGTGGTTTTCCTTTCCCCATGGAGACAATCCTGTGTTTGCCTGGCCAGGCCAGGGCAACTCCCATTGTGTTGATTTTGAGCTGGAGGCTCTGGCCCTTGAACTTTCTATGATAGGAATCTTACTGGGCCTTGGGGCACTGATGACCTGGACTGGGTTTGGCTTGCTCTGGATCCCGCTCACCAGCACCTCTTACTGGTGGGGGTGTGAGGTGTTCTGCTGAGCCAGGCCAGGACTGGAACCCCTCCTCCACTACAGCCCCGCCATGTTGCCCCATCATGGCTGCTACAGGAGCACAACAGGGAAGGGCCTGAGCCTGTTTCGGAAGCCCCATTTGGGGTGTGAGAGGGCAGGTAGGGGTAGTGAAAAAGATTCTTCCGGGCCCAGCGCAGAGCATTAAAACCTCTGGAAGATTCACTGCCTGGGGTGGGATGGGGTGAGGCCGGTGAGGGCATTGTGGGGCCCAGACCAGCCTGGCCTGAACTGTGGCCAGAAGCCCTAGGTTTAGGGTGGACTGGTGGGTGGAGATGTGTTCTTTCTAACCAGGGCAGACACCCAGCTGGCTGGGCCCTTCCTCAGCCTTGCCTCCCTCCCATTCCCAACCCTTCTCCATTCTTCCTGCTTCTGGACTGCTGGTCCCCTCACCTCCCCTCCTTCCAACTATTTCCAGTTACTACTGACCCATGGCCATGGACTGATCAGACCAGCACAAAAAATAAAAGTTTGTTCCAAGCTGATGGTGTCCTGTTCCCTGCCCAGGCCCTCTAGGTGGAGGTGCACCACTGGGAGCGCTGGCTGTGCCTGCCCCAGAGCCCCCCTGCTGCGGTGCAGGGCAGGGGCAGGACGAGCCCAGCTTCTCTTAGGCCTGCATGGCTTCAGAACACAGGCTCCTGTGGCACATGTGACACAGGCCAAGTTGCCAGTCTTCCCCGAACCTACTTCCTCATCTAGAGCGAGAGTTAAACAAAATGCCTGTGTGGTGGTGGTTGTGAGGATTCAGCGAGAGAGTGTGCGGCGAGGCTCGAAGCGTCGGCCTGTGGGAGGCGCCACTAACCCGGCCCGCTGCTGCTTCCCCGGGGCCGTGGGCTGTTGTGCAGGGAGAAAGGGGCTGTTGACATGTCTCTGCTGGGTGTCTCCCTCACTTAAGCGCTTTGATTTTGAAGCCACCATCTAGGAGAGAGGTGGCGGTCGGTTTTCCTAGTGAAGGCAGCTGAAGCTCAGAGGAGCGGGGCCAGCACCCAGGTTCATGCCGGCACCAGCACCCCACCCACCCCACCCACCCCACCCCATCTGCGGTATGTGGCTGCTCTGCCCCAGGGCCTTTGGCCCCAGCCTGTTCTTCGTGTGCTCTTTCCTTCTTGCTTTTTGACTCTGGTTCTCCTTAGAGGGGCTGCTGCCCACTGGTGCCGTCGTAAGAGGAAGGCTCCAGCACAGCGCACCCTTCTGCTCTCGGTCCCCGTGGCAGGTGCTGTGGAGTCCGTGTTTCCCCAGGATTTCACCGGGGTGGAACCTTGTTTGGTTTGAATTCTTTTGCCCCTAAGAGTAACCACTTTCTTTACATTTGGAAACTGTGGTCTCCGCTCTGGCCTCTGCCCTCAGACACGCAGGTGGTTGGTCTGGATCTCGGGTCACCCGGCCTGCTAACGGGGGCTGACGATACAGTGTGTTACTGTCATTAACTGGGACTCCACAGGTCCTCTACGGGTCTCAGCCCTACCAACTCTCACTTTGGAACAAAACACCAGCCCTTTTGTAGCTGACAAAGAATAAAGTTGTTAATCATCTCGAATGGCCAGTCCTGACCCTTCTGTATGTACAGCTGGCATCTGTGGTGTCTTCAGTTCAGTTAGGACCCCTGTTCTGGCTTACAGGCCTCCCTGGCACAGAATAAGGGAACGGGAATAGGCCATGGTACAGGGGGTTTGGGGGTATGGCAGACGGGGTGAGAGCTGTGCCTCGAGGGCCCAGAGGATTTGAACATGTGCCGATGGGCAGAGGGTACGCATCCGGCCTGGAGCACACAACCAGGGGCGCTGAGCCTTGACTGTGTTAAGTCCCGGGCAGCTGTTTCGGGGAGCATCTGGGGGATATCTCCTTTGTTGAGAGACTGTTCTAGATGCAGGGCAGGTGTTGAGTGAAGTAACGAAAATGGAGCGGTCACTGGAGTGAGCCATAGGACCAGCTCATTCCTGGCACGGAGGGCTGAGGGGTTACCTGGCCCAAGGCCTCAGTGCTGATTCATACGGCCCACTTCTGCGGCCGTTCACCCGCCCCTCCCTACTGACCTGTCCCAGCCTCTGTTTTCTCAGCTGTGGTGGGCACCGGCCCTGGATCAGGTGCCATGGTTAGGAGCAGAGTATGTTGGAAAGCGTGGCTGTGGAAGCACCCCAGCCCTCCAGGCGGGTCCTCGGAGGCACTGAATCCAGGGACATATTGGAAGGGGAGGGCCAGGACCTGTCCCTCGGAGCTGGCAGCTTCTGGCTCTTCAGGGGACCCGTCTCCTTACGCCATCCCAGCATAGGTACAAGGGGCAAATGTCCAGTTCCCGCGGTGGAGTCCAGTCGCACACTGAAGGCCGACGTGGTCAGTAGCGAAACAGGTAAATTCTACCTTCGCTCAAGTGGCAGCGAGAGATGCAGGTGAAGCCGCGCACTTCCACCGGCTGTCCGGGAGGGCCTGCCTTCTCCACATCCTCCCGCCTCCCCCCAGCCCAGATCCCAGAGCAGGGCCAGCCTCAGGCCCCCTTCCCCCAACCCAGCTGGGTTTTAGTGGAGAAACCAGGGTTTCTGAAATTCGGGATCAGTCTTTGGGGCATTGTTTTGGTTCAGTGTTCGTTCTCTTGTTTCGCCAAGAGCAGAGGCCCTGTGCCAGGACCAGATAAAAACTACACATGCCATGAATCCTGGGCATAATTTATTTTTTTTTGCATAGGCATAAATTAGAATCTGGAGATAAAAAGTTCAGAACCGATAGTGCAGCATTTGTGACAGGAGAGCGCAAAATGAAACCTGGTTGTCGGGGCTGGGGCTGCTGCCAGAGGGCTGCGGGCGGCCTCGGGCCTCCTCTTCCTTCCAGCTTCCTCCCCCAGGAGCCCATCTAGGGCTTAGCCCTGCTCCCAGGGCGCCTGCCTCCACAGCAGTCCCTTGCGGCAGCTGGTAAGGAGGAGCTGAGTCAGCCCGTGCCCCACACAGCGGGGCTAGGGATCAAGCCCAAAGCTTTTCAGTTAAGAATCAGACCTTGAAGAATATATACATAATACAGCAGAGCCCGCTCTTCCCCCAGCCCACCACCCCTGAATGCCGCCGCCCCTGTAGAAAATGAGCTAGAAGGAAACAAACTGAGCAAGAGCCGAAGAGTCCCAAGGGGGCAGCTGAGAATTAGGGCCCTTACACTCGGGCCTGACTGGGATGGGGCCACAGACAGACCTCTTGCCACCGTGACACCTTCAATGTCACTATCATACTCATGGGACCACCTGGAGAGCCGGGGGCATACCCTGCTCCCCACCCTGCTCCCCACCCTTTTAAGCTGACCGCAGCTGCTTCTGGTCTGGGCTCCCTGCACCCTGGGGGAATGTGACAAGCTTGCTCTGGGACACAGGCAGGCCGTAGCAGGAATGGGGAGCGGAGTGGACCTTGGTCTCAGCATCAGGAGAGAGAAAGCAACTAGCCCCAGCAGAGGGGGAATCAGGCCGGCCCCCTGGCCCCTCAGAGGCTTACAGGAGCCAGACCCTCGAGGGGTATGGAAAGCCCAAGGACCCACTTTGACCCAGAACAAGTACAGTGTAGCGAGGCCTTTGGGGGACCTCATGGGTCAAGCTCCCTTAGGTTGGTGGCACTAGACTTCTGGAAGAGCCCGGCTGCCCTGTGCATGGAGCTGCCCGCCTGGGGCTCAATCCCAACCTGCACCAAGAGCACTTTCCTCCTGGAGGCCCTCACTTCCCCGCCCGCCGCTGGGGGCAGCTGACTTGCCCCAGGCCCCCACTTACAGCCCACCCGCGGCTTTGGCACCTGCTTCGTGCACGCGCCTACCACCAGCAGCTCCTCGGTGCCAGCCCCCGTCCTGGTTCAAGGGCAGACAGGTTCCACCCACCTCTGCTGGAACTTGTCCACTCATTGCCTCTCTCCCTGTCTCTCAATCCCCCACGATATGCTACATATATACACCCTTCCAAGAGGGGGAAGTAGACACCCAGTGCCTGGCACAAAGAAGACAAAGAAAAGGGACGCTGGAGCTTGCTGTCCACCTCGAGCTGTCCCACTGCTAGGACAGCCCTGCATCTTCTCAGATCCATCAGGCCAGGGGTTCCTGCTCCCGGAAGTCTGCGTGCTGGTCAAGCATGTGGGGAAGTGGCAGGGGTGCTGCTCTCCCACTCCAGGAGAAAGGGGCACACGCTGAGAGGGGCTGGCCTCCCAGCTGGCTGGCCGCAGCACAGAGAAGGCTTAGTGGGCGGGTTCCCCATGCACCCGGAAGCGGTAGATGCAGGTATACTCAGGGTGGCCCCAGTTAGTCAAGATCCGAAGCTCCACCACCTGGTATGTCGCCATTTTAGGGTCCTGGGTAGAGAAAGAAGGGGTTCAGTCCTCAAGCCTCACTGACGGGAGGGTAGGAAGGGAGACAGCCCCCCGCCCCGTCAGCCTCTACAGAAAAGTGGGCTTCAGAGCTCCTGTCTGCAGCCCATGGAGCAGAGCCTCCAGCCTGCGAGCCACGGCGCCCCAGGGGCTTCGCAGGTCCTCCGGGGGCCACTGAGCCACAGCCACATACAAATGGCCTCGCAGCTGAGGACCAGCGGGGTTCATCCCAGACCGACACATTCACAGGAGCTATTCCTGTCAGTGGACAGAATTACCTTCATGAAGGGTTTCCAGCATCATGTTGATGCTGGAAAAGAATCCTTTTACTCTGAACTGGGCAGGCTTTTTCTCTCTCAAGTTCTCATTAGGCCTCTGTCCTCTTTGCTCAAAAAGCCACAATTTTTGAGTGAGCTCTTGGAACAAACTTCTCCTGGTTTGATGCCAGTAGGCACAGCGCTGTCCTACTCTTCCTGTCTCCCTCTGGCCTTCCACACAGCCTCCTGTCCTCTACCTTCTAAAGGCTCCGTCTGCACCCATCCCTGTGAAGTCCCCAGCACTCCGCTGCCTCGGTTACCTCCCTGGGGCTGACCGCTCAGTCTTTGTGTCTGGTTGCCCTGATCGCTCCACTGGACCAGCCCACAGGTGCCTCGGACTTGGTGGCCAAAGCCCCTGTTGCAGTGGCCTGCCTCGTGGCTCCTGGGAGCCACGTCCCCTGCCCCTCTTCCGCAGTTCTGTCCAACGGGACCCTTGGCCTCCCGACTGCGTATCCACCTCTCCCTCCTCACACCCTCTCTCTGCAGCCACTTCCTCACTGGTCTTGTCCCCTCAATTCACCATTTCCACACGGTCACAGTGATACTACAAGGTCTTGTCACTTCTCTGCCTGAAACATGGCAGTGCCCATCAGAGCGAAAGGTGTTTGGCCTGGGAGCCAGGCCTGCCTCTCCGGCCTCCCTCTCGCCACCGTCCCTTTGCCACCTCGTCTGGTTCTTCACCCCTGGTGTAGCTCTCAAGCCCCCTGCACAGCATTCACTTGGGGCTGCTCGTTAGAACACGGATTCCCGGGGCACCTGGGTGGCTCAGTCGGTTAAGCATCTGCCTTCAGTTCAGGTCATGATCCCGGGCTCCTGGGATCAAGCCCCACATTGGGTTCCCTGCTCAGCGGGGAGTCTGTTTCTCCCCTCTCCCCCCTTCCCTCCACTCATGCTCGCTTGCTCTCTCAAATAAAATCGTCAAAACAAAACAAAACCGAACACTGATTCCTTAGGACCGTTGGAACCCGGCAGCCTACCTCCTGGGGTGTAGACTGGGAGTCTGCATTTCTAACAAGGGCCAGGGAGACTGATGCCCACTCAGGTTGAGGCAACGCCCCACCTAAACGCCCTAGTCCTGCTGCACTGAGGCCTGGCTGGGCCGCCCTCAGGTAAGTGCCCTTTCCAGGCAGCCTTCTCCATGCTCCCTGTCTGGGCTGGGCCCCTCCCCTGTGCTGACATCTAGCTGGTACTTCTCCCATGCCACCTTGGACATCTGTCCCAGTTCCCTCCCTGGAGCTCTCGGGAGGCAGGGGCTGCACTTTTTCTTGCCCCAAACCCCTGGTGCCAAGCCCAGGCTAAATGCTCGGAAACGGTCTGCTGAGTGGGTGGGAAAGTGAACAGGCCACGTCCGTTCGCACAGCAGAGTCCTGTACCTGAAAGTAAAAGGTCTGAATGGGCTCCCCATCCTGGTCATAGGTGAACTGGCCAAGAAGTGTCCCCTCGTGCTGTAGGTCTTCATCAAACCCCTAAAAAGAGAACAAGGAATGAAGAAAAAATCTTGCACTTAGACGAGTGCCTCGGCTCCCCAGGAAGGAATGTTCTCCCTTCCTGCTCCCATACTGGTCCCTTCCCACACCATATCAGGCAGCAGCCTTGGTGGGGCTGTAGGGGGCCTGAGCCCTGGACCTGGTTTCTTCCAGTGCAGCCTAAGGTAATTGGGAGTGGGGTACCATTTCGCACCCTGCTACTCTCTCTTCCAAACCTGCTGCCTTCCTCCCAAAGAACAGATCCCAGCTTTATCCTCGGTAGAGCCTGACAGGGTCCGGTAGCCTCTCGGCTCATTGCCCCCCACCACCCCCCGCCAAAAGGTACTCACAAAGATGGAGAAGTCCTTGGGGGCACTGGAGATGGTGCTGTTGGGCGACAACGACTTGGGGACATGCTCTAAGGTGACAGCAGTGGGGCGGATGCGGGCAGAGAGGCGAACCACGGCAAAGCCCTGGGGCCCCTGGAAGGCCCAGCAGTTGCCTGGGTGCACGTCCGGCTGGAGGGGAAGGAAGCTGGGTCAGCATAGGGCCGGTGACAAAGACAGCCCACCCTGAGCACAGCTCGTGGTGATCCAAGATGGGAGTCCCCCAGCTACAAGGGTGACTCTGCTCGGGGCCCCTGCTGCTGCCCTCTCTGGGTGCCTACCTGGAGAATGACTCGGGGGGACTGGGAGTGGTACCACAGGGGGATGCCGAAGAGGCTGAGGAGGGCCGTCTTGGTCTCGTAGGTCTCAGAACACCGGGTGCTGACGACACTCGCCCCTAAGACAGGAAAGCAAGGCGGTGTGGGCGCCTGGGGCTGGACGCCAGCAGCGAGGGGAGGGTGGGAGACCCAGACACCAGCACATCTCGCCAGCCCAGGGCACCAGGTGGGGACGGCTACTGCCCGGTGCTCTCTGAGGATGGCGGGCACGTGCCCCGGGTCCCGGCTGTGTCGCTCAGCTCTATCCAACTACAGAGTAACTGAGCGTCAGCCTCTCCCTGGCCAACAACGGTGTTCTCTTCCCCCAGACTTCTCCAAACTTCTTCACTAGCCTTTGTTGTGAGTGACAGTGTGCTGATCTCAAGCCCCAGCCCCAGCGCCACGGCTGCCCGGGCCGATGCCAGAGGGCCTGCCAGCACGGGGACCCGGCTCTGCCACGGGTGGGGAGTCACGCTCACCTCCCGATTCCAGAGCGTAGTCCACCATCCCGATGCGGTCCTCGCTGTAGCGCTTCAGGGCCTGGTTTACGATGCGCTGCACCTGCTAAAGGGAGCCCCCAGGGCGGATGCCGAGAACTGCAGACTTGTCCACCTGAGCGCCCACTCCCGGGGGCCCCTCCCCGCCTGCATCACACACTGGCATCCAGCCACATGTGCCACTTCCCTAGATGTCTCCCCCAACCAGTCCCAAAGCCCACACGAGAGCCCACATGAGAGCCTCTCGCATGTCCCTTAGGCTTTGGAACATACCAGAAAGCCGACAGTGTGGGACTGTGCAGGTTATGGCTCCCAGGGAAGAGACCGCTGTGTCAGGGGTGAGGCTGTTCCGGGGGCCACCCAGTCCTCACCTCCTCCGTCACCCCGATCACGCCTTCCTTCTGCAGCGTCAGCCCCAGGCTGGCCGCGGCCTCCCTCGCGGACTTGCCCTGCATCTCGGCCACGTGGGTGAGGATCTTTCTCTCCAGCTCCTGCAGCTGAGCTTGCATCTCCTCTCGCTGCAGGAGCCCCGCGCGGGTTCCCCCACCTCGGAGAAGGAACTGACTGACCCAGGCAGGGAACTGAGACTCCACCTAGGGACGGAAGAAAAGGTCTCTGAGGAGCTCACGGGGACATTGTTGCTCTGGCGGCCCAGGCCAGGGCGGCAGCCGGCTTGAGTGGAGGGAGTAGGGAAGGAGCACAAGCCAGCCTGGGAGGGGAGGGCCGGCCCAGCACGCCCTGCTGACCGACACGGGGGGAAGAGTCGGGCACAACCGTCCACGTTACTGAAAACAAAACAGGAAGAACTCCTGTCACAGCAAGCCCGCATCTGTGCCAGGTCCCCAGCAGGGGCCGGCGGGACGCTCGGACTCTTGGCCGCACGGGCTCCTAGGACTGACGCCCTCAGAGGACAGGCTGTTCAGCAGGGCCCTTGCGTGGTTCCAACTTACGTCATCCCTCACGGCCTGCAGCTGCTGGGGCAGGAGGCCCACTTGGTCTGCGACCGAGCTCTGCTTCAGGCTCAGGGCCGCCAGCTCCTGCCGCAGGGCTGCCAGCTGGCCCTCCAGGCGCCCCAGCTCCTTCACGGAGTTCTCTCGGAAGGCCTCTTGGGTCATCCTACTCCCAAAGAGAGGAGAGAGAAGTAAGCCTTGGGTCTCCGGTGAGGGGTGAGGCCGTGACGAGGAACATAAGAGGATCCCCTCACCGGCTCCCGAGAGAAGTGTGTGCCCACCTCCCGCAGGCGCGTGCGAAGCCCAACACTGGGGACCCCGGCTGCAGAGCACAGCCCCGGTGCCTACGATCCCAAGGAATGAGTTCTTATCCTGTTCCCTTTCTAAGCCCAGGTCCGTCCGTCAGTCTGCCTCAGCCTCTCCCACCCTCCACACGTCCGGATGTCTGGGGCTCGGGAAGGCAGCCTGCACGTGTGTGCAGAAAAAAACGGTAGGTGTCCACGTGAGCCCACAAATCCCACTTTTCTTGCGGTGCCTCCCCTACCCAACCTCTCTCGCACCCGAGGCCAGGCTCTCAGCCGCTGTTCCTGAGCCGGGTTTCAGCCACCCCCTCTCTGCTCTGGGGTGCTCTTCCCCAGGCCTGCGGGGGTGCGGGGAGGGGAGGGGCAGGCCTAAGCCAGACGGCAGCGCCCATTACCTTTGCCACTCAGACTTCAGCTGCTGGAGTCGAGCCTCAGACTCCTGTAAACAGGAAGGCACAGATACAGCAAATGCCAAGCTCACAGCGACCGGTCTCCCAGAGCAGGCTCTGCTCTCTTCGGAGTCTTTGTTTCCCCGCAGCCCCACCCCTGCAAACCTAAACCGCCTGGTCAGGGTCCCTAGGAGAACCCCCGAGCTGGCACACCTCGGCATTCATTCACTCACTCACTCGTTCACTCGGCACGTTATACCCAGCACAGCAGGCCTCCTGAAGGCCACCCTTCCTCAAGTGTGTCCCAGCATGTCCCTGCAAAGCATTCCGGGGCCCGTGGGCTCGGCCCCTGCAGAAGTCAGGGGACCGCACCCCCACCCCGGCTGGTGTCTAAGTAGCCCCTTCGGGAGAGCCATGCGGTCTCAGGCCACAGGCAGATACTGAACAGGATAAGGGCCCCACCGACCTGGGAGGCCTGGACAATTTTCTTAAAAAGGTCTTCGGAGTCTTGGTGATGCTCTGCTCTCAGGGTGACCAGTTCCTCCTGTCAGAGAGAGGAGAGCAGCTCAGGACTCCTGGAGATACAGGCGGAGGGAACTTCACAACCAGGACGTGGTGGGACTGGAACTTGAACCAGGCCTGTCTATGAACTTCAGCTCCCAGCCTCTCTGCTCTGGTGCCCCTTAACCCGTGCGTCTCCCTCGATGTCTACCACACACCTCCTGTGCCCGGCACTCTACAGTCTCACACTCCCGGAGCGCCTCCGTTTTACAGGGAACTAAGGCTTAGAGAAGTTAGCTGTCAGGTGACAGTGCTGTCTGTCGTGTCAGGGTGCACAGGGCCTCGCCCCTCCACCCCACACCCTCACGGTGCCAGCCACGCGCCTCCCCGCTCCCGCTCAGAGACCTGGATCCGAGCGGCGGTGTCCCTGCGGAAGTCCTCCTTCAGGGCAGCCTCACGGCGGCTCACCAGCCCCTCCAGAAGCGCCAGCGTGTCCTCCTGGCTCAGGCCCACGTGGCCCTCCCCGCTGGCGGCCCCCTGCCGCAGCTCCAGCCGCTCCAGCCGCACGGCCTCCTTCTGCCAGTTGGAGGAAAATTCTGCGGCCAGAGCTTCCAAACGCCGCTCCAGAGAGTGGACCTGGGACAAGATGCGCTGCTCAGCCTGGTGGGGTGGGGAGGGAAAGCCACGGAGGTGAGGGACCTGGAACGACAGAGCTTCCCCAACGGAACGGGAAGAGAATCCCAGCTACATGCGAATGTGAACCCACGCTGGCTCAGAGGACTGGCTCAAGGATGCTCTGTGCCCTGCAGTTGGGGGGGCGGGGGGGGACACCAGCAGGTAGCCGGGGTACCATAAAGCTGCTGACATGTGGTGACCGTTCAGCACAGGACGCTGGACACACGTGGCCCAGAAGGGTCTGGTCCCCAAGGAGGAGTGGATATCGGCCAGTTGAGTGGGGACATAGCGAGGAGGGACCTGCAAGGGGCTGGGTGGCCTGCTGGGCTGACCCCAGCCCCCTTCCCTCTGCTGCATGGATGCACATGCCAGAAAGTGAGGGGCCGAGGGGTTCAGCTGCTTCAGCAGCTCCCACTAAGTCTGTCCAAGAGAACCGGGGCTAAAAGACAAAATAATTTGAAAAGGCTTTCTTTCTTCTCTTTAATTAGAAGGCCCACAGAGGAAACAGAATAGAAGTCATTTGGACTTGGGGGTTGCTCCTGATAGCATGCCATGAATTCTGAGAAACTTGCTGGCTTAAAAACAAAAAGCTTTGTCAAGGGAAGATATAATCTGTCAACTGTCAGTTAAAGACAGGAGCCTCCTGAGCACAGAAGTTGCTTCTGATTTTTAAAAATTTTTAAGTAGGCCGCACATGTGCAGGACTCAAAAAGCAAACAGTAAGAGGTCACTCTCTTAACCTGTGTCCCTATCCACCTGGTGCCCTCAGCCACCATCCACTCCCAAACAAAGCAACAATTTTCAGTCCTGTCTCTGCACATACAAGCAAACACAAAGATCTCCTCCCCCTTTTCAGAGAAAAGCTGGTCCTGAAACTGTATTTAACATCTTTACTAATGATTACAAAAGGGAAAGTTATTAATGCCAAAATAAGTCATTGTTTTATGAAATGATAACATGATGGTCAGGAAAGTAGTATCTACCAAAATAAATGGTTACCCAATCAGCTTCGGCAAGATACAAGCAAAATTCAAATAGATTTAGGGACTAAAGAATTTTAAGTTTTCCTTGTCACACGCACACATTCTGGTTATCCGGGCACTTGTCACACACACACACACACACCACCCCCCCACTGGACTGCAGCCTCCTTGAGGACACAGCCTGGGCTGCAGAACTGGCCCCCGGGCTACCCTCCTCTCTGTATCCGCACCCTCCGCAGTGTGGCCTTGCAGGCGCTCCCAACAAGAGGTCGGGTCTCTGTCCCCCTCTTGGAATGTAGACTGGCTGTGAGATGGCCTTCGGCCTTGAATGTGGCGGAAGGGACAGTTCTGAATCTAGGCCCAATTTTGCTCTCCTGGAACCACAGTGAGAACAAGCTCAGGCGAGCTGAAGGAGGAAGCACGTGTGGGGCACAGGCTGCCCCACTGACGCATGGGCCAGCTGCAGACCCGGCAGGGAGCCCAGCCTAGACCAGCCTGTCCTTGCTCAGACCAGAGAAACCATCCAGAGGAGCCAGAGACTCAGGAACTAATCAAATGCTTGTAGTTTTAAGGCACTGATTTTAGGGGTGATTTACTTGTAAATGACCAACGTGATCACCTTATTCGTAAAGGATGCTTAGTAAATATTTATGAAATTATACTGTAAAGGAACAAAAGTAGACAAAACGATTTGTCCCATTTTTTTTCCTTTGGTTTTCGGTGCTTAAGATGGCAACTACCTTGGGGGCAGTTTGAAGTCCTGTTTAAGCACAAGCAAGCGGCTCCCCCCGTACTGCACCCCAAACAGTGGAGAGAGGGGTGTCCTGGGAAACAAGGCAGTTTACCCGTGCGGACCGTGCCCCTTCTCAGAGCCCCGTAAAGTGTTAAGGGCAGGGAAATCAGCCACACACACAGGCGGGGTGAGGACCCGGGACCCCCAGATCCTCACCTGGAAGTGGGAGGAGTCTCTGGGCTCCCACACGTCCTGCTGCCTGCCACTGCTCTTCGCTGCCCACCAGGAAACCAGAGCAGGGTGGAAGGTCTGCAGCCCGTAGGGGTAGAAATACCAAGCACCTGTACACAGAGGAGAGGGGTTATCCGGGCCATGACCGTGTGCAAGAAGACACAAGCTGCTGGAGACGGCGGCGCAGTCAATACGGGTTCCTGGTGGCCTGTCGTTCCTGTGTGCTGGCTTTCTGCTGGAAATCAGGATGCGGGATGGAGGGTCCCGTCATTCTTAGATGGAGGCTTCCACCGGACTGCCCCAGAGTATGTGCATTCTCACATCCTTCGGGAGCCCTCATCTTTCTCTGGATGGCAAAACTCGGAAAACGTGGCTGTAATGAGCTAGGAATGATCCCAGATAGAACCAGGGGCCACCCTCAACTGCCATCAGAATCACCCAGGACGCTTTTAAAATACAAAATATCGGGGCGCCTGGGTGGCTCAGTGGGTTAAGCCTCTGCCTTCGGCTCAGGTCATGAGGACCTGGGATCCAGCCCCGCATCGGGCTCACTGCTCGGCGGGGAGCCTGCTTCCCCCTCTCTCTCTGTCTGCCTCTCTGCCTACTTGTGATCTCTCTTTGTCAAATACATACATAAAATCTTTAAAAAAATAAAAAAACAAAATACAAAATATCTGGCCCCACTCTCTAGAGCATGAACTCACTGGTCTGGGGGCTCCCTCTATAGGTGAGATGTTTTTGTTTTTTAAAAGATTTTACTTATTTACTTTGGAGAGAGAGCAAGGGAGTTGGGAGTGGGAGAAGCAGACTGTGTGTGGAGGCTCAGAGCCTGATACGTGGCTTCATCCCACGAGCCCGGGATCATGGCCTAAGCTGAAACCAAGAGCTGAATGCCCAGTCAACTGAGCCAGCATGCAGCCCCTGTAGCTGAGTCTTAAAAGCCCTTTAAGTCTTTAAAAGTCTTTAAAAGCTTAAAAGGGCACTTAGGTGGCTCCATTGATTAAGTGTGGGTTATGAGTTCAAGTCCAGTACTGGGCTCCTTGCCGGGCGGGGATCCTATTTATAAAAACAAACAAAAAACAAGCTCCCCAGGGAACTCCCATGGGGACTGTGACTGAGAATCACTAAAACAAGACACCTGCTAAGAGAAGGTGCTTTCAACCTAAGACGGCCACAGCCACAGTGACACGTGCATGTTGCTTTAGGGGTCACGTGCTTGTGGAGCATTCGCTCCTGAGCTTGCACACGTATGTCTGTGTGGCGGGTAGTGGTGAGGGCACCTGAAAAGCCATATGGGTGTCCATCTGAGTAGGACCACGGCTGCCACTCAGCCGGGGGCTGGGAGCAAGAACGACAGGAAGCACATGCCCACCAGGCTTTCAGTCAATCCCTCTGGACATGCCTCACTTCCTGCACGCCCCTCCCTGCGCAGGCCACCCCACCGGCCTTTCACACTGTCCACGCGCCTCTCTCCATGACGCCACCGGGACAGCAGCTCCATCAACCCCGCGAGGCCCCAGTGAAACTCAGCGGAGGTAACCCGCGAACAAAGCACAATCCAGTTGTAAAAGATCATTATTTTATGGGTGATGCCCAGTTTCCACTGGACATGAACAAGCTGTTCTTGTAACAGGAAACAAAAAGGAAATCAACACTTGGAAAAATTTTCTACCTCGCTATTAAATAAATACAAGTTGAGGTGATGCTAACCCTATAAAACCAACCCTAGGCGCGCCCAGGTGGCTCAGTCAGCTAAGCCTCTGCCTTCGGCTCAGGTCATGATCCCGGGGTCCTGGGATCGAGCCCTGCATCTCTCTCTCCTCCCCACTCGTGCTCTCTCTCGCATCTCTGTCGCTCACTCTCTCTCAAATAAATAAACAAAAGCTAAAAAAAAAAAAAATCAACTCTTGGGCCACCTGGGTGGCTCAGTGGGTTAAGCCTTTGCCTTCGGCCTGGGTCATGATCCCAAGGTCCCAGGATTGAGCCCTGCATCAGGCTCTCTGCTCAGCAGGGGACCTGCTTCCCCCTCTCTCTGCCTGCCTCTCTGCCTACTTATGATCTCTCTCTGTATCTAATAAATAAAAACTTTAAAAAAATCAACTCTAAAACTAGAATAAAGCATGGTCTCTATCAATCAATTGTAGATGGGCACAATCGTTAAAACAGCCCGGAGGCCATAGAGGCAGCTCCTGTGAACTGTGAGCCCCCGGTGGCGCTGCTCCATTCATTACAAGCTGAACACACAATACATACACACAACGGTTACAACCACATAAAACACACGACATCATCCTTGGACAGACTGGAACAACGTCAAGCGTCTTGTAAATGAGCTATCTTAGAAAAGGACAAACTTCTCTTTACTACTTTACCATTTTGATCTCAAAGATAGCTAAAGATTGAACCAGATGTGGTAACAAGAATTCACTCACCCAGACGATGTCCTGCTTTTGAATGAACGGAAAATGACTACTAGGAACAGTGCTCCAGTACCAGGGCAGGTCCCGAGCCACGTGGCTCCAAGAATGCTCTAGACATGCCAAGGTAGTCCAGAGCAGCCACCCAAACAGGACAATAATCAGTGGACTGGGGCATATCCCCTTTCACCCACTGGGTGCCCTGCGCATGCCGCATGGGTCAGTGAGGACCTGGGAGAGCCAGACAGGATTGGCCAAGGGACTGGGTGCTGCCCAGGCTCCGTCTGATCCCACTCATCCTGCCTCCTTCCCTTTCCTGTAGGTCATCACCGTCCCTTTGGTTCTCACACCTCCACTCAGCGCCACCCCCCACCCACACCCTGCCCTGCCCCTCTGGCTCACCAGCTCCATTTCGGCCTGGCACGCTCATCCTACCCCGCCCCTGCAACCCCGGCGAGCTCACCGTAGGTCAGGCCAGTCATGAGCAGCAGCAGCAAGAGGAACCACAGGAATGTCTTCACAGATGAGAAGCGCCTAGACCACAGGAGGGGACAGCAGGGTGGGGAGAGGGGGGCGCAGAGGTGTCAAAAGGGCATTCGGGCCCCTTCATCCCCACGGGGAGTCTGCAGAGGCTTTTCCTGAGCGCAAAACTAGAGCTGGACGGGGTGCCCTGAAGTGCCCCATTTTCCCTGGGCGGGATTGGACACTTTAGAACTTTACTTTCTTGCAATAATGGGGAGAATTCTGACACCCTGAATTTTATGGATGTTATTTAAAAACAAAGTGGGGACTCTGAAAAACCTTTTCATATACAGAGATCCTCAAAGCAAGCAATTCTAGGGGAAAAAAACAACAGAACTCCTTAAACAACATTCTTTCAGAAAATGAGGAACCTTCTTTTGGTGACACAGATCCACCCCTGCCCCTCCGCTCAGCCCACCTGGCCAGCCATCCAGCCAGGATTATGGCCAGAGGACCCTGACTTCCCGGCTCGGTCTTTCCTGGCTCTGCTGGGTCCGGGATTTGGGAAATAAACCCAGAGCCCCCTCACGCAGCACCTACTCCTGGCTCTGGAAACACGCCTCAGAGAACACTGGGTTCTAGACTGCCATGAGGCCAAGAGGAGAGCCCAACTTTCTTGGCCACACCCCTTGTTGGCTGGAGCCTAAAACCTGACCAACAGGAGGAAAGCCGAGCTCGGCAGACGAGGAAGTGGCCAGAGGGGGCTGGCATTTAGCAGAGACAATCTAAGGAACTGGAACCTGTAGTTCCAGAATCCTCCCTGAAGAGCTCTTGGTTTGGAAAACAACACCTGACCCAGGCCCCTCATCTGTCGGGCAAAGAGGGGCTGCTCTGGGGGGTCCACTCCCTGCTCAGTGATAAAAGCTATGTGTGAACTGGGATGACCACCTTCAGAGAGAGCATACGTGGGTTTAGGAGCTTTCTTGGTCCCTTCTGTCCCTGGGCTTCTGGGTTCCTTGTCAAAGTGGGGGTCGCGCTCACCTGGTCAAAACGAAGACATCAAGAAGGGAGGCAGCTGTGGTCAGGCGGTACCAGGTCGTGCCAACCCACCAGTAGAGGAGGGCAAAGAGCCGGCCTAGAAGAGGGACCGGCAAGTCCTAAGTGTCACCCTGAGCCAGTGGCCTGCAGGTCATGGTTTCAGATCACCGCTCTGTCCACCTGCCGCCCTCTCCGCCCCGGCCCCCAGCACTGAGCTGCCATAGCACCTCTGTCCCGTCCAAGGTGACCCTGTTCCTCTGATCCCACCTGCCTAGTCTGCCAACGCCCTCCACCCAGCTCCACAGCTGCTGCCACCCTGAGAAGGCCAGAGTGTTACTGCGGCTCCTGGTCTCCGGTGATTATTCTAGAATGAGCTTTCCCTAATGGCCTGATGGTCTCTCGATGGGCTACCCCATCCCAGAGAGAAGCTGGGGGAAGGGGCAGCTGTAGAGAATGGAAATAATGGTGCACAGAGCAGCCAGCACCCACCTGGAGAAGTGACAAGCGTCCAGAGACAAGAGGCTGCCCAGGAGACGGCGTTCCTTAACCGTGAACCCGAACTATGGTGGTCCGTCTCCGAGTAGCCTGCCAGGACAGAGAGGTCACAGCTCAGTCTGTCCTCACTCTCACAGGCCCAGGACAGGGAGACTGCCTATCAGTTGTCTCCTTTAGACTGTGAGCTGAGCCCCCCATCACTCTCCTCTGCATCCCGGGAGCATCACACGGGCCTGGCATCTAGGTCAGTAAATGCCCGTTAAAGGATCGAAGGGGTAGGTTTCCTGACATTTTATTTCCCTTGGGCCTCTCGTCTGCGTCCCTCTCCTCGCCAGCCGTCCTTCAGACCACCATTCGCAGCTAGACAAAAGGGGTCGAGCCCCTCCTCAACGTGAAGCCCCACTTGAAGTACTTGCTGGAAACAAGTCAAACACGATGGAGCTGACCACAGGCTGCTCCCCCCGACGAGTGGGGACAGGGCAGCCACGGTGTGTTAAGGGCCACCCCAGGCCTGTGTTTCAGGAGCCATGGTGGCACAGGGGGTGCCCGGCTGGTCTGTGGAGAGGCCTGCCAGATACCGCACTCTCTCGGGCTGTCAGGGGGCCCCTTCCCTGGGCCTCCCCCATCACCTCCCCCCAGCCCCCGCCCCAGGTGTTGGCCTACCTGCAAAGTCATCCTCGGAAGAGTAGCCGGAGGAGGACCCCAGGAAGTCCTCGGAGCTCCTGTTCTCAGCAAGCCCATTGAGTTTGCTGCTCTCTGTGCCTCTCCTCCTGCGCACCCGCAGGTCCTCACCTGTGCAGGAAAGAGAGCGGGGTTCTCCAGGGGCCGAGAGCTGCGCCCAGGAGGCTGTACCAGAAGGCCTCGTGGGGACACCCCGAGAAGCACCTCCGACGGACATACAGCACTGCCCTTCACTTCTCCTGAGCTCCCTGGGTCCACAGGAGGGTCTCTGGCCGGGAGCAGCCCCATGAGGGCTTCGCTGCCTGACGTGGCCTGCGAGTTCAGACACTCGGCTCCCCTTCTGAGGGTTTCTGAAGACAGCGAGCCCCTCCTCTGGCCCAGCAGTCGTGAGGAACCCACTCAGGGAACACTTGGGACCTTACGTTTCTACCAGAAGCAAAGCCCGAGGAGAAAGGTCTCAGATACTCACCCCAGTAGGGCTCACTGTGCAGGTGGTCGTCGAGGATGGAGCTCCTGGCCAGGGAGGCGGCCCGGGGGCTGCCGAAGTAGGACTCCCTGACCACCGACTCGCTGTAGTAGGAGGTGTGGTCGTCAGAGGAGGGGCCCAGCTGGGGCGCTGGGGACAGGCGCTTCATGTTGCTGGATTTCCTCTTCAGGGTCCTGTGGGGGTCAGCCAGGAGCAGCAGCGGGGAGGCCAGAAACAGGCAGGTGAGAGCCCAGTGAGGAACAGGAAAGCAAGCCGCTCCGCCCGCCTCTCGTGGGGGGTCGGGTCAGCCCCGTTGCTAGGAAACAGCTTCCCAGGGAGGTGCCGACCACAGGGGCTTCCTCAGCTCCCACCTCCCACAGTCTCTCAGCTTCACCAGCAGTTAGGTGATGGGGTCAGGATTCAAAGCCAGGTCCCTAACCTCGAAGCCAGTTTCCTCTTGGGATTATTACCGCAGTAGTGATTTCTCCCACCCCCTGGAAACCAGACCAACCCGACGGGGCCTCCTGGGACTAGCGGAAGCCTTGAGAGCTGCTATGTGGTCCCACTATCTGTCAGCAGGGCAGGACGGGGCAGGCGCCTGGTTCAGCTCATTCACCGTGCCCCTCCGACGTGGGCCTCTCCTGCTGCAGCCCTACAGACCATGCACGGGGGCCTGGGGACAAGGGCCAGAAGGGCACACCCGTCCATAACAGAAGGGGCTCCTGTGAACCCCACTTGCGCTTTTGGGGTTTCTGGCCTTTCGGGGTTTCTAATCCTGAAGCTGCCTCTCCCCACATCCTGTCCTCTGAACATGAGGGCCATGGCTGGGCTTACAACAGAGGGAGAAGGAACAAGGAATAGCAGTGCTAGGTCCTGGCATCCTCAAAGGTGTGAAGGTTCCTGCTCAACTGGAAGAGGGCGTCTGATCCCTGCCCACGGAGGTGACAATGGGAAGACTCAGCGCAGCAACCCGCCTGAGTCCTCTGCTCCGCTCAGCGTGATCCACGGTGGGGGCAGGGGAGGGCGACAGCAATCCCTTACCTGAGAGGACTGTCTTTAAACAGGGTGCTCTGGCTTCCCATCACCGAACTTCCTCCACTGCTGCTGCCGCCGTCATCATCACCCTGGGAGTAGCGCGAGAGGCGCTGGCTTCGGCGGGACATGGCAAGGTAGGCTGGGGACCCTCCTCCTGAAGAGACTCTTGGGAGAGAAAGGAGGCCACATTGAGGGTTGTCCTCAGCTCCTCCCTGGGGACCTGCTCCCAGGGACCAGCCCACCCTGCCCGTGCATCCAACCCAGCCTGACAGGTGGGGACATGGGGCAGCCGGCACCCAACCTGCCAGTGTCCCTGCCCAGCCTCGGGCTCACTCAGGCCCCGGGAGGCCTCTCCTGGTGCTTTCTACAAGCTTCTCCTGTTTTCAGCATACTGGATGCTGAGCTGCATGTGAGGTAGAACCGGACCTTCCACTACCTTTGGTCCATAGTCGCGTCAGGCGACCTGTTACCTTTGGTCCAGGACGCGACAGGCACCCCACCCCAATGCTAACCGAATGCCTCTGACCCCTGCTCCCTCAACCAGCCCACGATGCTGCCCTCCCCGCTAGAGCTGTGTGCGCACTCATTCCAGCGCTTTCTCTTGGAGGGGACACACTTTCTTTTTCTTGTGGCTATATGCTCTGATTCAGGGTGCCACTCCAACTTGGACTGGAAAAAACTTTTTCCTAGTAAGTCCCTGAAGGGGTCTGTGTGCTGTATCCCCCCCAGTGACAACATCCTGATAGGACTGGGATGGTGATGACAAAATACTTTGTTAAAGGCCTCCTAGGTACCTGGCTCCTTACACAGCCATCTCTGATCCTTGTGAGCATGGGAGACACGGTTACTGCCATCGTCCAAGAGAGCACCCTGGGACACCAGGGTGGGGGATGGGGATCGGTGACCTTGCCCACTGTCACCTAGCCTATGAATGACAGGTGGCACGGCCTGGGTCGTTCCCCTCTACCATCAAGTTTTCAAGGTGCTTTCAGAATGTGTCATGTGTCCCCAACTAGAGTCTTGAATAGCCTCAAATATGCTCAGAACAGGCTGTAGACAGAGTTGTCACACAACAAGTACTTGTTAACAAACAAAACGGGGAGGTAGAGCTACAGGGGTGGGATTAGGTCGTCTCTGCTGGAGGGAACAAGTCAGCGCATGCGGTGAGAACTCAGGCCTCTGGAACGGATATGGAGGACTGAGAGGAGGCCAAGGAGAGGAAACCAGGCAAGAGGCAGCGCTCTACAACCAGAGGACGACTAAGAAGCCTTCCAGAGATTAAAAAAAACCACAAAAAACCCAAATTCAAAATCCCAGATGACCAACGTGAAGAGTCTCAACGTGGCCCTTGCCTGCCCACATTACAAAGTCTTTGTTATACGTGGGGCCCCCTCAAGAGTCCCCAGTACCTGTGACTTATTATCCCTTCTAGTCTTCCTGGGTGATACTTAAAACTGTTCCCTATGTCGTACAGAGGGCACCAACTCTAGCATTTCCCAACTCAAGACTGTGGAAACCAGAAGGTCTGGTTAGTCCCGCTGGAGAATTCTAGAATGTTCTCTTCTGAAAAAATAAGCAGTTCCATGTCTTGGTCTTACTGGCATCCTCCCAGGTAGGATGCCCACCTGGCATCCCTCTGTGGTTTTTAGCCGGTGTTGGTAAAGAGACTGATCGGTAGTAGCACAAGCAGGAAGTTGGCCTGGGTCCTTGTCCTTATTCCACTCCTTATAAGGTAATTCCACCCCTCGACGGCCCTTCCCACCTGAAAGCTCCAAATGCCCAGATAGGCTCCTCCTCCAAACCCTGCAGGCTGAAGGGAATAAAGCCTTCACCCTGGGACAGAAACAAAACAATGTTTCTGCCAAACTCAAGCTGCTGTTGGCAAGAATATAAATATTCAGACAGAGCGAGTGCGGTGGGGGCGGGGTGGGGGCGGGGGGAGGGCGGGTAGAAGGGGCTAGTGAAAACAGAGCAGCCGGCACCCTCCTCCACCCTTCCTGTCTTTCCCGCAGTTCTAGTTGCACGCAAACAGTTTGCAGCTGAGTCTGGGCTTCAAAGGTGAGAAAGGTCAAGGCCGGAATCCTCCAAAACAAGAGCCTCAGCGAGCTCCAATCTCTTGCATATCAGCATAGAACCCACCCTCCCCAACACAAACACACCAGTTAAGAAACCGTCGAACACAACATCCCTCCCCACCACGAAGCCGAACCACATCCTCTTCTCAATTGCACCTTCCCCGCCACCTCCCCTCCCCACCCGGCCACAAACTTAGATGGCGGGATGCCGCCAGTCTGCAGACTTAACCTAGACCTCCGGCATCTTCCATGGGGGGTTTTCACACTACTTTCCCTCGTGGGACCTGTAAAACACTCCAGGTGCTAACTCCCTTCTCCCTTCACTTTCCCTACGGGCTGAACCCACAGGCATTTTTTTTTTTTTTTAACCAACCACGCGCCTTCCCTGCCGCTCTGTTCTAAGTCACACTCCCACCTCCTATTTGTTTGGTTTCTTTTTTTAAGAACAGAACAAAATGGGCCTTCCTCCTATTCCCAGAGTCTGACAGGCAGAGGCAGGGAACTGTCTGTCCCTGGAAACTGCCTGCCTGGCACGAAAACACGGGCACTGCCCTGGGCCGGTCGGAGGTGTCCCGGCTGTCGCTCCCCTCCTCGCGGGGAGGTCCTGCGCGGGGAAGTCCCGCCTGGAGACATCCGCCCTCCGCGCCGGCCAGTGGGCGGGCTGCGATGAGTCAGGGCGGCTGGCCCCGGCGCGGCGCTGGCCCTTCCCCGCCGCCCCAGGGGCGTGCGCCGGGCGGGGCTGGAGCCCGGCCCAGCTTGGCCCGGAGAGGAAGAACCAGGCCTGGGCAGCTCGGCCCTGGCCGGAGCGGCCCGACGCTGACCCTGGAGTCGGCGCGCCCGGAGCCCGGGGCCCGCGGGGAGGCGGGCGAGGCCGGCCCCGCGCCCTTGCCCCGCACGTCCACCCGCCAGAGGCCCACGGCCGGCGGTTACCTGCTGCCGCGGCTGCTCCGTGCGGGGCCGGGGGCGTGCGAGGCCCGCTGCGCCGCCCGGGCGCGCCCCCTTCCCGCGTCGGAATCCCGCGAGCGGTGCTCGGTGAGAGGCCCGTGGCGTGCGGGCAGCGGCGGCGCCGGACGAGGCCAGCAGGCGGGACGGCGCAGCAGACAATGCGACCCGCGCAGAACCGCGCTGCGCGAGTGGGGCCGGCCGGCGCGCGCGTGGCCGAGTGTGTATGTGTGCGCCTGCCAATCAACGCTGACAGACCGCGGCCCATTGGCCGCGCCCCGCCCGCGTCACCGCCCACTGCCACCGCCCATTGGGCGGTTTGAACACAAAGGCTCCGGTTCGCTCCGCCCGCCGCGTGGGCCCGGGGGGCCCCGAGAGCCTCGCCTGGAGTCCGCGCGTGGGAGGCGCGGGGGCGGAGGCGGCCGCTGGAGGACGCTGCTGGAGCCCGCCTGTGGGGGCTCGGCCGGGCCTGGCTGCGCACTTGACTCCGGGCCTGGTGGTGCTAAACACCTGATCCCGCTCCCAGCGCTGCCTCCTGCGCCTCGTCCCACCGGTGACCTATTGGCTGAGGCGTCCCAGTGCTCCCGCAAGCCGACTCCGCCAGCCGGGGTGCCAGGGCCTTAAAGGCATCGTGACGGGGGAGACAGCCTCTCTGAGGATGGCCCGGGGAAGTGAGGAGTAAGGGGAGTAGAAGACCCCTGGCCTCAGGCCCATCTGGAGGGGGAGCGAGTCGTTAGCCCTTAGTGGACCGACCCTCATACGGTCGTTGAAGGCTTGCCGAACGCCTGGCGCATGCGTAATGGTCCTTTTAGCCGGGCATTTCTGCACCCATTTTAGAGATCAGGAAACTGGTTCATAGAGGTTTTAAGTGATTTGCTTAAAGTCACAGCTAGAAAGAGGCAGAAATGAGATTAGGAGCTTCCCTTTACACCCGAGTCTGATTTTTCTGCTTTAGGGTTGATTTGGGGATTCCAGACGTGGCCAGAGGCTCCGTCTCTTCCGGGTCTGCCCCCACCGCCCCCAAGCTTCACAGCGAAGTTTTTCTCCACTTTAAGGAGGGAATTTGCTAACTTTGGTACTGAGAAGGCAGGGCTGGTTACCTCTACCTCGACCTCACTCAAGTGTGTGTGGATAGATAAATAGATAGGTAGATAACGGAGGGAGTCCGCCACCGGCCCACTTCACAGCTGTAGCAAGGGCACTGCTCAGGAGGAGTCTTTTCCTGTGCAAGTTCTTCTATGGGTAACTGTGCTTGTTTCACTTTTAAAGCACCAAGAGGAAGAGACAAGAAATTACAAAACCACTGCGACAGGACAGGAAGGCAAAGGAGGGTAGGGGCATGAGGAAGAGTGAAGCCCTGTGCTAAGCTGACTGCAGACAAAACGATCCCCCTTCCTGGGCGTCTACTGCTCCCCCTGGAAAAGAGGGGTCTCACCTGCCCTGGTAGCATCCTGAAGACAAGGGTTAGACAGCAGACCCCCTGAAGACAGGGCTGGCTCTCTAGGACCTCGCACGGGGCCTGGCTCATGTCTGAGTATCTGCTGACGGTGGAATGAGTGAAATGAAAGTGCAAATCAGATGCAGGGCCAGCTTCTCGGGGCCTCTTGACACCTTCTTACCTGGCCGCTTAACTCCCCAATCCTGTCAGTTTCACGGGAGTGTCCGTATCTCACCATCTCCCCTGCAGGCCTGTTTCACTCTCCTAGGATCCTGGCGGAAGGACCCTTTCCTGGGGCGTGACTTCTGCCTGGTGGAGGCAGAGGTCCCTCCTAGACCATGTCACCTCTGTGGGCCAGCAGAAGGTGAATAATGGCCCCAAGGTTATTAGGTCCTAATCCCTCAAAACTGTGCATGTTAGCAAAAGTGGAGAGTCTTTGCAGACACCCTTCCATGAAGGATTTTGAGATAAGGGGACTATCTTGCATTAGTAAGGTGGCCGTACATGTAATTACAAGTGTTCTTTAACAGAGCGGCAGAGAAGAGGAGAGGGTGGCATGACCCCGGAGGCAGGGACTGGAGCGGTGTTGTCATGAGACAAGGGATACCGGCCGTTCCCAGAAGCTGGGAGAGGCTAGGACCCCATTCTCCCCTAGAGCCTCGGGAGGGAGCCTGGCTTTGCTGACACTTGGATTTCGGTCCAGCGGTTTTTGATTTTGTACTTCTGGTCTTCCAAACTGTGGGAGAATATGTTTCTGTTGCTTATAAGTCATAAAATTGGTGCTGACTTGTTACAGCAGCCTCAGGAAAGAGGTAAGAGCCGGTTCGGGTCTCCTGTGTTTGTGCCGTGCCCCTCTGTCCGCCCTGACCTTCATCATGGGTGCTAGTCATCACACGCAGACCCGTCTCCCCACTCTCTCAGCCCCTCGGCTGTCTCCCCGGACTCACTCAGCAACTTCAGCCCTCCGGGGCTCTTTCCGGCGCAGATGCCATTCATGTGGCCAGTCTTCCCACAATGGCAGGGTGGGAGGCAGATGGCTTCGGTCCCCGGGCACTTTTGCCTTGGCGGCCCCTTCCTTCATAATAAAAGTATTTAAACTTGTATGTTAGGATCCCATAGGTAGAAAGGTGACCACCATCCAGGTGTGATTCATTCGTAAATATTATTATTATATGGAATTTTTCTTCTGATGTTAAAAGGATGAAAATGAAAACATTTCCGTGGGCTCTGCGTGCCCTGCCTGCTCTGCTTAATAGAGAAGGTGGCCCCGAGCGTCGGAAATGTCACATCAGTGCACGGATGATAAAAAGCAAGGAGCACGCGGGACCCACAGCCCAGGCTCCAGGCGGGTGTCTTCCTCGCTTTCTCTGTGATCCTGGGGTGGCCACTTGGCCTCTCGGAGCCATTTTCCTCACCTGAAATAATAACATCCTGTGTGTGACCTTGGGCAAGTCAGCAAGGCCCCCTGGCCTCTTTCCTCATGTGTGGGGTCAAGCAAGTAGAAAAACTGCTTCGACACGAAGGGCTTTTGCCACGGGAGATCTTTGGGAAGATGAGGAGGTTGGGCTGCTGGTCGGTCCTGGACTCATGGTCATGGTCACGTCAGGGAGCTCCTCTGGGCTTCCAGAGACCCTGGCTCTCATGTGGAGGTGGGATGACCCAGGTACCTATGTGCCTGCCCCATGACTCATGTGCACATGTCAGAGGAACACATGGGCGACAGTGGAGCCTCCAGTTTCCTTGCTGCTGCCAAGGCCACCTCCGCTTCTCCCCACGGCTGTCAGCCTAGGTCAGCAGCCAGGGTGTCGGCGTCTGTCATTTAATCACCCCAAGCACAGTGTCCTTGCTGGGGGCGGGATGGGGAGGACTTTAATGCCAGGCTTACCTGCAGCAGGAACACGTTTGGCAGCTATGGGGAGGGTGGGTAACCTCAGAGCATCCTGGTGCCCTCCCACCCCCAGGGGCCGCTCGGGGATCTGATGTGGTCTCCCTACCGCACCCTGCCCCGACGGGCGACAGGGCTCCCTGTTTATGGGATCTTTCATCCCAAGACCTCAAAGAGCTCTGTCACCTGGTGACAAGCGCAGTAAAGCGTGTTTTATGGAAGGGGAAGGCCAGTCCGAGGAAGGAAGGGTGCTGGATCCAGGTTAGCGATCAGGCCAGCCGGGCTCTCATGGGTGACTGTGCCTGAGGTCATCTCTGTCCCCTCGCGCCTATCACAGGGCCAGGCTCAATAAACACACATCAACTGCCTGCCTGACCGCAGCTCCCGGATCTTCAAACACCCCACACCCTGGCGCCCCCCTTGCGCTCCCCAGAGCTGAGGCCTCCTTGGCCTCACCCAGTGCGCACCGCCCCGTCCCCCCTCCCCCCCTCCCCACTCCTGCCCATTTGCTCAGGCTCTGCGCTGGCCTAGAATGCCCTTTCCCCATTTCTCTGCCTGATGAGACACTACGAAGCTTTCAGGGATGGGCTCAGATGGCGCTTCTCCCACGGAGGCTCGCTTCCCTGCCTCCAAGTTCCCGAGGCAGAAGCAATGGCTCCTGCACCATGTTCCCACGGTCCCCACCCCCTCTACCCAGGCACGCCCCACGCTGTGTTCTGGAATTGGAATAACAGTCACCCACGGCCCCCAGGGACAACAGGCGCTCGGGCAGGGCTCGTGCCCGGCCCTCACTGTAAGCTTGGACGGCCACTCATTGGCCCCTGCTCGGCGCCTGGACGCATGAAGGAATGGCTTGCCAGGCCTCTGGGGTCAGAAGGAAAGTCAGGGGCGGTGCTGGGGCCTCCACAGCTCCTGACTCATGGGCATATCCACAGGGACTGGCCTGATATCCCCATGAGGTCGTCTCTCCTCGACTCTCAGCCTCTTGACACCCCCACCTGCTGCTCCAGCTGCTGTGAGACATTGTCAGCTGATGGTTCCGAGCACAGGCTTGGCGCTCAGATGCTCCCGGTGAACAACGCTGGCCAATCATGTAGGCTTTCTCAGCCTCAGTGTCCTCATCTATAAAATGGGGATGACACTGATGTGCCTACTCCCCGGAAGCCTAGCCCAGTGCAGGGCACAGAGTAAGTGCTCTGTCAGTGTCCATTACTTTTTAATTTACAAAACATGCCTGCTTTGCCAGTGAGGAGGACCCGGCCCTGCTGGAGAAAGAGGTGAGTGAGCGGATCACACAGTGGGGCCCCCCCAGAGAAACCAGGCCTCTGGGGCCCCTATGATCAAGGCCTCCGTATCACTTTCCTGGGCCCCTTCCTCCATAAAAATATCTTTTGGTTTTCTTTGAAAGACAGCCTCTTTCTTTCCTTTTTTTTTTAAAGATTATTTATTTGACCCCCACAAAAATATTAAAAGTTCTATTTTGTGGCTGTGTTGGTATAAAAGGGAACATCATCCAGGCTGGCTTGTATTCATTTTTTTTTCTTCTCATTGAAAAATAATGAAGGCATGTCTGCAGGCCCTAAATGTGTTGTGGGCCCCGCTCTGCCTATTGTGTGTAAGGGAGGGACTGGCTGTGACTCCCTTCGCCCAGATTTGGGGAGTCAGGGAAGCTGCCAGGGACAGTGACCTGAATCAGGGAGAGAGGACTAGCCGGGGGACAGAGGGGACAGCAGGGGGAGCACTCAGCTCAGAGGACCTGGCCAGACCCACCAGGCACATCGTGAGGGGACAGCCTCTGCTCCCTCCCACCCTTGTCACTGGACTCTTTGCTCTTGTCCCCTGTGGTAACCTGAGACACTGCAGCAGCACCCCAGCCCC